TTCTAGTAGACATTCATGACATACAAACAGATAAAGGAATCTGCCCAAGATCACATTAAGGCCCCTGCTTGTGCATTCACTGCATTCTCCCACTCTAAACTTTTAGTCCTTATAGATCCTCTTCAGTCCCTGCCCTGGCCCTTCACCTTGCTAACCTTCAGACCACCTGGACTCCATCTTGAGCCACCTGCCTTTTCTATCTACACCGATTTCACTTCTGACTTCATCTGGTCCTGTGTTTTAAATACCATTAATTCACTGATGACTCCAAGATTTCTATCTCCAACATGGACTTGTCCCATGAATTCCAGATCCTCTTACCGAACGACCTACTCAGCATGTCCATGTGGAAGTCTAAAGAGAATCTCAAACTTACTGTCCAAAAATCTGTTCCTTTCATAGTTTTCTTCATCTCAGTTGATGGCAACTCTATTCTTCAGGTGCTCAGATCAAAACCTTGGAATGATTGTTGTCTTGTGTGTTAGTCAGCTTTGTGTCACCATAGTAAATATCTGAGATAAATCAACTTAAAAGGAAAAAAGGAGGCCAGGGTTGGGCTGCCCTGGCGCTGCTTAGGGTTTTTAGGAAACATGGAAGCAGTGGTGATAGCTGGAATTGAAGGACTCTTGTGGTGATCTCTGGGTGCCCTCTGAGAGGAAAGGAGAGGATGCCACTGGAATCACCATCCTCATCGCTGCCATTACCCTTCCCTTCTCCTTTGCCCTCAGTGCCAGATAATACTGCCAAAACGCTTCCTGTCCCCAATGTCTTACATCACTTCCCAGGAGATGAAGTGCACTCTTCATTGGCTTGCCAGTTGATCAGGTCACCAGCAGGAACGTTTTCTATAGGACCTGGTAGCTAAAGCGGTGCCAGGAAAATTACAGCCACCGCTGGATGGTCTGGAGCAGGTTAGCGTATCTGGGGCAAACCGGCCCCCTTGTATTTTTGAGTGCCAGCTACGTCTTTGGATCAGTGGTTTTGAGACTGGCTGAGCAGGAGCGATGAATTCGTCAGGCAGCTGGAGGTCAGTGAGCCAGACTCCGTGGCAAAGTTTTACCAGGCCATGGCTGCTACACTGGAAAGGACTGATAGGCATTCAGATCAAAGAAGATAACAATAGCTGATGGAGTGAAGGCCATGACTCTACAATGAGTTCAAATGTGTCCCTTAAAGATCTGGGGGGTATCCCAATGAGGTAAACTTGCTGATGAGCATAGGCATGGCAGTTTCAACATTAACAGTGTATCAACTGGACTCCTGGTGTAAGTGTTATCTGTCTAAGCAAATACAGATGATGTCTGTCTCCTAGTTTGCTTCTTTCCAAGATATGTGAAAACCTCAAGAATTTAATAAGTGTTTTTGCAACTATAACCAAAAAGAACCTACTTGTTATAAACTCAAGACTGCTACTGGCCCATGAGAGATATAAAGTAAAACTCTTCTTCCTTAGAAACAGGAGAGAAGAAAAAGTATTTTTATAGTTTAGCTGGGTTCAGGTGGCTACTTTTAGCACCCTTACCAGATTCTATCATAATTATGAGACATCCCAACTACTTGGTTTCCCAGTGGTGATTTAGTAAAATTATGGAAAATCAGGTGAGGAAGGTAAATACTCTGCCTTTCATACTGTTTGACTCCAAATAGCAATGAAAAATTAGTAAAAATATCAAATAGCTTTTTCTAAAGCATATGTGATATCCTTGGAGCTGGTAGCAGATGTTCCTATTCTGTTGCTGTTCTATGATTGTATGAATAGCATTTTACAGGTTATGCAGTTTATTTTTATATCAAAATAAAGAATGGATCTTCATAACAAAAAAAAAAAAAAAGAAGCCAGGCATGGTGGATCAAGCCTCTAATCCTAGATACTTGGAGATTGGGAGGATCATGACTCAAGGCCAGCCTGGGCAAAAAGTTCACAAGACCCCATTTCAAGCAATGACTAGCTGTGATGGTACCTGCCTGTCATCCCAGCTATGTTGAGAAGTACAAATAGGAGGATAGCTGTCCAGAGGCCCAGGAAAAAAGCAAGATCCTATCTCAAAAATAACCAGTGCAAAAAGGGCTTATGGGTGGCCCAAGTGGTAGAGCATCTACCTAGCAAGCATGATGCTGAGTTTAAAACACACACAAACAAAAAAAAAAAAAAAAAAAAAAAGAGGAAAGAAGGCTGGAGGTGTGGCTCAAATGGTAGAGTACCTATCTAGCAAGTGTGAGGCCCTGAATTCAAACCCCAGTACTGCTAAAAATAAAGGAGTAAAGTTTTATTTTGGGTCACAGTTTCAAAGGCTTCAGTCCATGGTCTCTTGGCCCTGTTGCACTGAGCCCACAGCAGCACAGTACATGGTGGGAGTGTGTGGCAGATGAGGCTTATTCACCTCATGGCAACCAGGAAGCCAAAGAAAAGGAGACTGGGGCCCCTTCACAAGCATGCCTCCAATTACACAACTTCCCGCCACAAGAAGCCATGTACTGAAGATTCTACCACCACCCAATAGCCCCATAGGCTGGTAACCAAGCCTTTAACACATGAGCCTTTGGGCAACACTTATTCAAACCATAGCATTCTATCCTTGGACCCCAGGGCTCATCACATCCATGCCATAATACAAAAGTCATCCAGCCCTTCTCCAAAGTGCTCAAAACTTTAACTGTTCCAAGCACTGCTCAAAAGTCCAAGTCCAAACTCCAAAGTCTCTGAGACTCAACACAAACAGATGTGAGACCTTATAAAAATAAAAAAATCAAGTTACATACTTCCAAGATACAGTGGTATGGGGTAAATAGTCCCATTCCAAAAGGGAGGTATAAAGGCATAGAAGGAAGGGTCAGACCAAAGCAAGACCAAAACATCACAGGGAAAACATTAAATCCTAAGTTTTCATGCCTTGCATCTGGGGCACATGGTAGCATAATATGAGCTCCAAAGGGCTTTGGCAGCTGGTCTTGGGCTAACTCTGCTCCCTGCCTAAAGCCTCCCTTGGCCAGCATTCCTTACTCCTGGCTGCTCTAACTTCCTGGGGTTTCCACTCCAGCTTCAGCTTTGCTCTCACAGCCTCACACATGCCCTATCAGGGATCTGTGCCTGATATCCCAGCTTTCCTTTAAAATAGTGGCGGCCTCCATGACCCCATTAACTCCTATATTTGGCATGCTTGAAAGACGGGCATCGCAATCTGCTGTCAGCACAAGCTGGATCTAAGCCCACTGGAATCACAACCACAGCAGCTTCTGAGTGCTTTAATGGCTAAGCATAGGAAAATGAGCACCCACCAAACAATTCCCTAATCTCTTTTAGGGCTGTTCTGTGGTATCACCACCTCAACTTCACAAAAACTGTAATCACTCCTCCTGTATTTATACTACCTAATTCACTGTGGACTTCACTTTTTGTCAGTCTCTCCCTAGACCTCAATTGCAGCAGTATAAAGAATGGCTTTGTTTTACTAAATCCTATATCCTAATACATCTGCCAAGGCCATACACATGGTAGATATCAATATTCATTGAATGAGCAAGTGAAAAACAAAAGTGAATGAATAAACAAACCCTCTTTTTTACAGGACCTCCATGTCACCCATCAACCATCATAGGCATACAATGAGGGGACACTCAGAAAAGTATGATGGAACTAAATTTACATATAGCTGATAAAGCGCAGAGAGAAAGGTAGATGAATTTACCGTGAATCTTTCACTTCAGTCCTCTCATTAACATACAAAAGATAAATGAGGAGTCCCAAACAACCCAAAAATGTTTCACAAAAATGTCTAAGAATTTTATTTCTAAAAATTTTTTAATACATGTTTTAAAATCATGTAAGTTTTACATACAAAACTAACAGTTTTCAAAACAATATAAGACACATACAATGTAAAATCATCTTTACATATACAAAGTCCAGTGTAATTTCTCATACAAAAAAATACAATAGGAAAATGCTTAAACATGCTCACCTGCTTCTGGTATGGTGACACATACCTATAATCCTGCACTTACAAGGTTAAGGAAGAAGGACTGAGTTCAAGTCTAGTGTGAGCTCCATATTGAGACCTTGTCTCCCAAGGAAAAGTTCATCCATAACTTCCTCTTGACCAGTCCCATGAGCTGCAATGAAAGTTGCAGGTATCTATCTCTTCTTTCCCCATGTTAACTCATCTTCCTTCCCATTTTTCAATTTATTTTTAAGACAAAAGCCACTGAAGACTTTTTAAAAGCTTATGTTTGTTATTATACTTTATCAGTCAGGTGGCTTTTAATTCCAAAGGTCAATGCTTTATATTCGGTGCTATAGATTAGATGAGCCTCTAAACATTAGATGAAAATCAAATTACAACCTGGATATTTTAAGTGAAACATACCATTTACAAAAATTTATTTTTATAAAATTAAGGTTTTTCACTTATCACATTTGTTTAAATCACAGTAAGCCTGTAAACTAGTTCCTCAACCTATCAAAACAAAAACAAAAAAATTTCCTTAACAATGTAAAAGATTTTATTCACTGCATTCCTACAAATGCTGTATAGGAATAACTAATCTAAAATACATCTTAGTAGTTTATTTTCTCTATCCCCACCACATCTACTAATATGCCCAACAGAAACAGGGTTCTCACTTGTCTACTAGCAATACAAATACTCATTTATTAGTTCCTGTTGCAGAAACAGAAACCTCTGAATTTTAATTCTATATGAAAAATCTATTACTAATTTATCTCTGTTGCCTTTAACAATATTTTAGGGAAAATGTTTACATTTAAACTTTGAAGTTCTTAATCAGAAGGTTAAGAAAAAAAAAACTGGTTATGATGTGGATGAGCTTTTTCTGTGTCAAAAGTCATCTTTTCCAGTCTGAGCAGGAGGAACAATGTAATTCAAGACCAGCCTGAGTAACATAGTGAGATCCCATTGCTAAGGGGAAAAAAAAAGCTATGTTTCCTGAAAACCTTGAGGGAAAGAGGTGAAAAAAAAAAAAAAAAAAAAACAGGAGGGACAAGGAGGGAGGAAAGTAAAGGAAGGCAGTGAGAGAAGGGGAAGGAAGACAGGCTGTTTGGAAGGTGAAAATTAACATCTCCAGAGTCACAATGACTCTGTGGAACTGCATAGAAAACTCTCTTGAAATTCACTAAAAGAATAGCACCAACAATGACATTTACCTAAAAGTAAATGGAATTAGAAGAAAATTATGTTTTACTACATCACATTTCTTAGAAAAGTATTATTAAAACTTATGATTAAAATTGGCCCCTCCCCAACTATTCTGATTTTGACATCTGGAGCAACTATTACTAACTACAGAGCAACTGTTCCATAAAAAGAAAAATGTTAAAGACAGATGTGGTAGTGCATGACTGTAATTCCGTCTCCTGGGGAGGCAGAGATAGGAGGATTGAAGCTTGAGACCAGATGGGGCAAAGTTAGCACGACCCTAGCTCAAAAACAAACTAAAAGCAAAAGAACTGAGGATGTGGCTCAAGTGGGAGAGGGCTTGCCTTGCAAACAAGAGGCGCTGAGTTCAATCCCCAGTAAAGGAACAAAAAAAAGTTACCAATAAAAAAGTGAAGATTAAAAAAGTTCAAGTTAAGTCAAGTAAAAAGTAAAAAGCCAGAGCAGGACAGCTCAGGTACTGACAACTGAAGTCCACTTACGTACAGGGCTTCTATCAGCTACAATGACAAATCTACTCTCTAACACGTAATTTTGCTTCACAGACAGAACTGTTGAAATCCAACATTCACTTATTGAGTTAATTAAAAGACATACGGCAGACTACGCACAGACACAATATCCTTAAAGGAAACTTGAGAAGTGCAAATAAGCTCCAAGATTGTATTTGGGAGGACTGTACCCGATAGGGTACATATGTTTCAAAATACGGGCAATGTTGCCTTGAGACACAGCACGCATAATGACAATATTAAAATACAGATTTCCTTCAAATACTCACATCAATTATGGTCAACTGATTTGAACACATCAAGAGAGAATTTTACCAACAGTGTAATAGGATTTATATTTACATTTTCATTTGCATCTTAAGGACAAATTGTTAATAAAGATGATGATTCTGAAAAACAAGATTAAAGCTGTGTTCATTTGGGAAAGCCACATTAATATTATTCATCCTACCATAAACACTTTTATAATGAATTCAATACTGCAAAACCATTCACAGCTTTGTAAAAGGTTGGTACACAGAGTTTCAAAATTAAGAAGAGTCCAACTACATTAATGCTTAACCACCTTACTCTAAGATCTGTAGAATATATAAAATGCCAAGGTTATCAACAGTCACATATGTTCTGAAGTCAGGGGACACATGTATTTTCTTAAGATTGGTTCCATTTGTGTAGAAGGTCTGTAAGGATTCCCCGGTGACAGCATTCCACCACTGTTCACAGAAGGATAAAATTCTCATTAGACAGTAATTACACAGCATGATCATTTGTGGCATAAGTCAGATTGTTTGCCCTGTCACCTCCCCACTCCTAAATGCAAGCAAACAGCAGTAAAGAGACCTCAAGTTTACGTTGAAGACATTAGCAACCTGGTATTTGTTGATGAACCCGGGGTCAGTATTTGTTGATGAACCCTCCCTTCCTCCTTCTTTCCTTCCTTTCTCCCTCCCTCCCTCCCTCCTTCCTTCCTTCCTTCCTTCTTTCTTTCGGTGGTACTGAGGTTTGAACTCAGGGCCTTACACTTGCTAAGCAGATGCTCTAACACGTAAGTCATGCCCCCATCCCTGAACATCTCAAATGAAGCAGGTGCTCTGAACAAGTCCTTCTCTCTCCCACCCCACCCGCCCCAACACTGAATTCACTAAGATTACAATATTTATATCCGTTTACCAAGTGGAGTTCATATAGCATACCCATATATCTCACAGCTAAAATGAATGCAAAGGATAATGCCGTGAACACATTTTTAAAAGACCTCAGGAACATCAAGTCTCTGAACATTATGAACTCAATAACCGTGTCACTCACCTTTTACCCATCACAGAGCCTAACATATGTGACTGGGTTGACTATTCATGCTCATGCTTAGTAACAGGAACTGGAACTCTAAACGTCACTGAAGCAGCATGCATTAACGGGATTTTCCAGCTCTGGCAAGTCTGCTTTGTAAAATGACAATGTAATTGAGAGTGCAGAGGACACATTCTCCCCGAGAGGACACTCACCGAATTTCAGTGACTAAGGCTCTTAGCACTTATCAACTAGTCCACCTGCCTCATTTTACAAATAAGGAAGATGAGCTTCTGAGAGAACCAGAATTCAGAACTCTGATGACACTGCTTGCAGGTGGCAGAATTAGAAGTTTTTCTGGTTTCCAAATCCAGTGCCTCCATCCTTTCCTACCTACAAACACAGACCATTCTACCTGGAAGTACTACACCAGCTACTGGGTTAATATGGACTTTTAAAAAATGATTCTATAATAGTAGCTAATACCAAGGATTTTTAGGGACTAAACATAATTCTGTACGATGCTGCTGTAATGGTGGATACATGTCAATACATATTTGTCCAAACCCACAGAATACACAATACCAAGAATGAACCTTAACATAAGCCATGGGCTTTGGGTGGTGATGGGATGTCAATGGAGGTCCATCAATTGTAACAAATGTAAACCTGTGATGTTGATAGTGGGGGAAGCTGGGTATGTGTAGGGTTAAGGGACATGGGGAATCTCTGTAATTAGGTGCATACTGCTGTTACACTCATTTTACAGGTAAGACAATTGAGGCACAGAGAGATAAAACAGTCTTGGCAAGGTTACAAAGCTAATGAGTGGCAGAGCTAAGTTCTGAACTCAGGAAGTCTGTCCCAAGGCCCACTCTCCTGACAGAGATGCTCTGCTGTCTCTAACTAATGGCATGCCTTTATTTATCACCAGGTGTTCCACATTTCAAATCAGCATCAGGAGTATGAATTAATGTGAATTTCTTCTCATTCCAACAATAAGTAGTACTCTGTGGCATAACTCAAGTAAAAGCTAAATGATACTACTTTCCCACTTACAAATAGTAATAACTTTGACAGTTAAGAATATTTTAGCTACTGGATACCTACTTTATTTTACTGGCACTCAATTTATACTGCTTGGGTTCTAAAGTAAACAGACTCAAAAGGCCTAATTTCTTGGCCACTACAGCAGCTGTTCCTTTTTACTTCTAATTTGTTCTGTGCTTTTGGATGATCTCATTAGCATGCTGGGTAGATGCAGGCTAGGCTATAACATAATTAGCCTAACCATGCTAGTAATCAAACCAGAAGGCAAAGTAATCAAACCAGAAGGCAAAGTAATCAAACCAAAGCCTGATTGTCACTTAAATATCAGGCTACAGTTTCTTTCAGCCTTCAGACATAACCACTATAGTATGAAGATCTATTCTGCTGCTTTATTTCAAGGTTCTCTGAGAACTCTGAAAATTTGGCCATTGACCTTTACAACATATTTAAAGTCAGAATAACAATTTTGTGACAGTATGTTATGGGGTCCAGAGAGTCAAATGGCATGGACTCTGGAAGCCTGGTGTCAAAGCCAAGCAGTTAAGCTTTTTAGCAGCTAATATAGCTGAAGACTCTCAGCTTTCAACACAAAAACCAGCAGTGTCTCTCTAAACTACCATCAGAACTAAGAGTTTCAGTTTATCTTTACACTAAAGAGGACAGTGGCAATCATCTCTCAGGATCCCCTGGTGACTGAATAAAGGTGTGCCAAAACAATGTAGGTTAATGCAACATTAACAGAACTGTATTTCCAATGTGACCTTGTAAAGAGATCATAGTATATATTCTTTCATATAGTTAAAAACTGTCCCTAATTTATCATTTTTGTAAGCTAGATTTTTATGTTGAGTAAAATTACAATAATGTGGGGCCCATATAACCAAAAATTTCATTCATTCAAATACTTCTGATCATCTAAACTGTGTTAGACAATCAGAATCATCTATACTTGACTATTTTCAGCAGGAAATAGATTCCATAAGATCTCCTGATATTGCTATTTTATTTTTTAATGTTATAAGTAAGGTTTAAATACAGATTCTAATGCCTTGGGATCTATTTTAAATGAGAAAGCTTACAGAACATCCAAATGCTCAGTACAATATGTATTATCATCTTATACCATTTTTACAAATGAACTGCTTTTCAAGACTCACCTCAAGCAGCCCTCTTCACATGAAGCTTCTAATAACTCCCGAAGGTAGGCCCATCCACTCCTCCCCTTTGTACATCCACTTCCCTCATACCAACATGACCCAGACACCTCCTACCATCTGCATCCCCCATAGACTGTTAGGTGTCATTGAGCAGAAACAAGCCTTAAATACTGTGCCACACAGCAATATCTTAGCACAGAGTGAGCACTGAATGTAGCTGTACTGAATGGACAGATGCCAGCACCAAAAAATGGCCTTGAAGTACGATAATACACCCAAGCCTTGGCCTCAATAGTAAGTTTGCAGAAGCTAACTTGCTAGAGAAAACTGAGGAGGAAGAAAACTGAGTCCTGGCCCTTCTACTTACAAATTATGTAATTTTAGGAAAGCTACAACTCAATCTGCTCATCTGTAACCCAAGGATAATAAAATTTAAGCTTCACAAAGCTAGCTGGTGATATGACAGAAGTAAAGCAATATGATGTTGTTACTATTATTATTATTGAAGGAAAACTTTCACAAATGCTTTTTTTTTAAAGAATTTCAACCAAAACATTTAATAATGAGTGACATGGAAGATGAAATTATGTTGAGCAGTCCACTTGCTCTTCATTCTGATGATACAGGTTTTGTATGGGGTGTATGAGAGCTCTGGACTGAGAACATCTGTAATGCTGTCACCAAAGCTTCCAAAAGACCTGAAGACAGTAGCCTTCAGACCTCAAGTCTCATTGCTGCCAAATGGGTAACAGCAACTGCCCTTTTACTCTGCTGGGTTGGAGAAAGCCCAACTGAGAAACAGAAAGTGAAATAGCTTGGAAAGTATGACACAGGCTATTCTTTGTTTCCAGTCATCAAGTAATTCTTACCTTAAGATATCCTCCAGCAGAGATGAGCATTTTGCTGTCTGGAGAAAAGCAAAGGTCAGTCACCCAGCCTCCATGGGTAGCAGCTCCTTCTTCTACTGAAATCGGAGCACACAAATGAAGAAGCTCACCGTTTGAGACATTCCATATCTACATAAACATGATATAAAATTCATTAGTAGGGCTACTCAGAAGCTTCTTTAATTCCAAAATATATACAAAATCTTTCTTTTAAAAAAAGGATTAGGGAGTGATTGATTAGAATGTTGACTCTTCCCATTTAACTAAAAGAAGAAAACCCGTGATATATTTGGAAATCTTTCTTTAAAAACTAAAGGACTAAAGTGATTGATTAGAATGCTAACTCTTTCCATGTACTTTAAAGAGGGAAGCCAGGCATGGCAGTAATGCCTGTAATCCAGCTCCTCCAAAGGCTGAGGCAGGAGGATTATAAATTCAAGGCCAGCATGGGCAACACAATGAGATCCTGTCTCAAAAAAAAATTAAATAAAATAAAAATAAAGTAAAATAGGGGGTAATGAGTACAAAGCCAGCCCAGGCAACATAGTAAGACCCTGTCTCAAAACAAAAAAGACTAAATTAAATTAAAAATAAAATAAAATAAAATAGAGGGAGAGGTACAGTTCAGTGGTTGTGTCTTAGCATGTGCAAGTTCCTGGGTTAAATCCCTAGCACAGAGAGGGAGGAAAAATGAAGTTGGAAGAGCAAGGAATAACAAAAGAGGCCACATAAATTAAAAAAAAAAAAAAAAAAAAAAAGCCAGGGCAGTAGTTCAAGCTTGCAATACTAGCTACCTAGGAAGCAAAGGCTGAGAGGATCACAGTTCGAGGCCAGTCCAGGTAAAAAGCTCACAAGACCCCATCTCAACCAACAGCCAGGCACAGTGGCATGCACCTATCATCCTAACTACATGGGGAGCACAAATAGGAGAATCGTGGTCCAGGCTGGCCAGGGCACAAAGTGAGACCCTATCTCCAAAAACAACATATAAAGGAATGGTAGGGTAGTTCAAATATGTCTGTAGACACCTGCTTATTAGTAAGTGTAAATCCCTGAATTTAACCCCAGTACCATTAAAAAAAGACAAAGAATTCTAGTTCAAAGCTAACACCAAGAACATTAACAAATGTCAGTGAGGCACCTGTAGTATGTAAGTCCCTATAAGGCTCTAAATATATATTTTCTAAGAACATTTTACTAGACTCAAGAAACAATGCAATCACTTGCAGATGCTAATACATCCATTTATTTCTAGTGACACTTAATATACAAGCATGAAATGTGTAAGAGAATAAGAAAAAGAAACAGAGGTGTACAAAAGAAATAGTTAAAATCATCATTTTCTCTAGAAAAATCCAAGCAAATCAAATGGGAAAACTCAGAAAGAATTCAGCAAAATAGCTAGGTATAATAAGTCTATACAGAAATTAAAGCTTTTTCACATTCTGAATAACCAGATAGAAAAACAAATTTTTCTTTAAAAAATGTACCAAAGAAAAAATTTTAAATAACACTCAAAATTCTAAGAGAATTTTTTTTTTCCTGGAGGGAATCTCTGAAAAACAAAGCAATGCCCCATGAATGGCAAAGGAGCCCTTTCATCCAAAGATGAGAACTCAGGTTAAAATGAATGGTCCCACAGTAGCCCTGTCACTTCAGTTGGCACGTGTGTATACGAATGGGACAGAGAAGGTTGGCTCCTCAGTCCTCAAGAACAGCAATCCTGTTTTCTTAGACTAGCACCTCTATTCCTGCAAAGTTTATACTCTGTTATTCCTCTGCAGTATATACATGCCTTGAGTTTTAAATCCTTTCTTTAAAAAACAAATAAAAACACCTTTTTCATGTAAATACTGTTTACCAAAATAGCCATCCCATATCTGTCCAATTCTTCCAACACAGCTAAGTCATCTGACTACTTTTCCATGATTTCTGATCTTTCAGTATGCAATACTTTCCATATTGTCTATATTTCCAGACACAACGAGAACATATCTCATGCCTCCCAGAAAGACTTTTCAAACTAAAATTGGCATGGCTTATATATATACCTTAAGAGCTGCATGGAGATAAAAACTGGCCTATGCTGTGAACTCCACCTCAATGGAGATCCCTTCATTGCTCACACCCCAGGATGGAAATGTGAGCCTCTAAACTGTTCAATTAACAAAAGCAGATGGTTCAAAGCGGACTGCACAAACCACACTGTAAATGTTGACTAATGAGTAGAGGGTTAAAGAGATTTTTTTTAAAACAGTAAAAATAGCAGAATTTGCAATTCATTTATTCTCAGACAATGATTAACAAAATTAATTTCCTCAAATTCTGCCACTAAAATCCACTTTCAGTTCAAATCCGAAAATTAAGATGAATCATTCTCAAACTAACAGAGAACCAACTACAAATAACTAGGGCATTTGCCTCCTCCCATTATACATAAGGAAATGCCTCAGCGTAACTCTATAATGAAATCCTTCCTGTAGGAGAGGGCAGCTGTGAATATAATGTGCACAAGAAACAAAACAAGAAATGTCTCATTCAACCAGAACGCCAGGGCCTGTACTGTCCTGTCCCATTAACAAAGATCCCCAATGGGATGAAGAGTGCCAACCCAAGCTGCAGAAGGAACAGTGCTCATGTCACCACACACCCTACCCTGATTTCTCCATTGTCATCTCCAGTCGCCAGCAGGGTACTGTCCACAGAGAAGGCAGAACAGCGCACGCAGCCGTTGTGGCCCTTCAACTCGTGGAGCGGGGAAAGGTGTTCGAAACTCCAAATCTGAAGGCAATTAGGATGGTTTAAGAACAGTGCTCTCAAAATAAGCATATTCAAACCCTGAGTTGAGTGCTAGTCAGCCATTAAATTCAATCACAAGCAAGTTATATGTAACATTCAACAGTGCATAAATTTTCATGAGATGCCCAAGCTCCAAAACCTGCAAACTTGTTGACCTTTCACCTTTCATTACTCAAGTTAAATTCAGCTCAAGAACCAAGGTCACACATCTTCTTGATCTTTAGACTTAGAAGGAAGAACAGGGAATCATCACTTAAGAATAATCTGCAGAGCAAGGCAGACCTGAGTGTGAGTCCTGGCTCCATTCTTTACTAGCTCCTGTGACAACTCACATAAGGTTCTCAAGCTTCAGTTTCTGCATCTGTAAAATGACAGTAATGGTACCTATGGTGTGAAGACTAAATGAGATTATAGGAAGTGAAATTCCTAGCACAAGGCCCAGCACATGGCAAGTGCCCTTTAAAGGTTCAGTCACTATACTGTCCTAAAATATGAGACAGCCATGTAGACAGCAACTGTTACTATCCTGTTTTATATATTATTAGGATTCATAATATATATCAACACTAAATTTTATGCATGGTCACTTCAACTGATTGACCTACCTTTGCAGTCTTATCAGCAGAAGTAGATGAAAACTTGGTAGCATCAGAAGAAATATCACAAGAAAGTACTGTACCCTGGTGACAGGCAAAGTCTTTTTCTATTCTTCCAGTAATAACACTCCATACCTTAAGGGAAAAGAAGAAAGCTTAGAGTTGACACTCTTAAGAACAACTTGTATTAAAGAGCATCATCAGCTATAAGATCTATAAAACAAGAGTTTTAGCACAGCCAAGAGTTTTTGGCTGTTTTGGTCTCTTATGTATCCTTTAGTATAAATATTCACAAACATACACCAGATAAAAGTAACTACAGTGAACAGAAAACAGGCATAAGAGAACAATTTTTTAAAATTTAATTACCTAATATCCATGTGGTTTTGGTTGTCACAATGTAACCATTTCAATATCAGAATGATTTTTTAAAAAACTGAATTTCAAATTACCTTCACTGTTCCATCAAATGACCAAGAAAGCAATCTTGAATTTTTTAGGAGCCTGAAGTCTTTCACTGTTTCCTGATGGGCTTGCAGAGAGACATATTCCTCTGACTGCCAATTCCAGACCTGAATATTAAAGGAGACTGTTACAGTCTTCCCTCAGTAATATCCCACTGGAGGGAGGGAAGGTGTACACCCTCTTGTCTAAAATCTTTTATTCTCATGGCATTTCAAATGGAGAAGAGTAACAGAGAATATGATGTTTGCATTTTACAAAGAGAATGAACGGCTGAGGTTAATTAACTTGACTAGGGGCAAAATATAATACTTTTCCTCCTAAATAATTTGTTTCCTTCAGTTGCTTAGAGAACAGTTAATTATATCAGAAGATAGAGAAAAGCTGCAATATACCAGTGAGCTCACTATCTGATTATATTTTCCAGAGAAAATTATCCCTATTACATAGTCACAGATTTCTGAACCTGTGAGCTAAGCAAGTCTTCAGATTCTGGCTCCTCTGAAGCTAGCCTTATTGCCCAAGAAGGTCAGCTGGCCAAAGCAAGTTAAAATCAGGTCATGGAATTTCCGAGCTTCACAGGTCTTAGCTATCCCCTAATGCAATCCCCCAAATCACAGAAGACGCTATAGGGCATTATTTTTCACATGGAGCTTCAGGAAGAGGTCCTCAGCCATAATGGAAGAAGAATCGAAGCACACAAATATATCTGAGGCATAGCAGTAAACAGAAGAGACATTTCTATGCCACATCCATGTGCAGAATATCCCCTCCTACTATATAAAAACAACTGCATTCAAACCCTTGATAATTCTTGACTTCAAACTGACATTTTTAACAAATGCTTACTTAGCACCTATAATGAGGCAAATGTGAATCAAACAAGATGTTATAAAGAAACCTAAGAGGTGGTGATGAGCCAACATTTGTAATCTCAGCACTTAGGAGGTAGAAGCAAGAGGATCACAAGTTCAAAACCATCCTGGACTACATATTGATTTCCAGGCTAGCTTGGGGCTACATAGTGAGTCTCTATCTCAAAAAAAAAAAAAAGAAAAGAAAAGAAGGAAGAAGGAAGGAAGGAAGGAAGGAAGGAAGGCAGGGAGGGATGGAGGGAGGGAGGGGGGAGGGAGGAAGGAAGGAAGAAACCAAGATCCTATCAAAGAAATGAGACATACCAAAAAAAAAACCACGGAAGATAATTAATGATAGAGATAAAAGTTCTATGGAACTGCAGAAAGCAATTCCTAGGCCCAGCATGGTGGCACATGCCTATAATCCCAGTTACTCAGGAGGCAGAAGAAAGGGGATCACAGCTCAGGGCCGGCCCAAGCAAAAGTGCAAGACCCAAACCAAAAAATATATACTAAAAGTAAAAGGACTGGGGCATTGTAAAGCACTTGCTTAGCAAGTGTGAGGCCTTGAGTTCAACTCCCAGTACTGAAAAAAAAAAAAAGAGTAACTCCTTAGAGAAGATTTGATGGAGACAGTGCATTCAAAGTAGGCTAGAGGAAATGGAATGGACTGGGAGTATGATTCACAACTGAGAGGGGCATTTCAAACACAGGAAGTGAAGCTAGAGTTATAGTACAAGAGTAGGAAAATGTGAAGAGACTACAGGGACTTCCTGATGGTTTACTCTAGCTAGAACATAGGACAAGCAGAGGAGTAGAAAAAAATAGTTGGGGAAGTATTGAAAGAAACAGCCAGAGGGCCCAATGAAGGTATAAAACAGGTAGGCTCCAAAAAAATTAAAAGATAAAAAAAATTAGCCACTACCACAGGAATGCACATTAGTAACATTCTGCATCTAGTTTTTGATCGGCAACAGTCAAACTGTGGAAAGATCTTTAAGCCTTTTCCTATCAGGCTTAGGTAAAACTGTGCAAGCAGGCTGGGAATGTGGCTTAGTGGTAGAACACTTGCCAAGCATGCACAAGGCCTTGAGTTTGATCCCAAGCTCCATTTAAAAAAATAAGTTTTGTGTTTTGTTTTGTTTTTTAATTCCTTTCTCCACAGCATATAGCAACCACCCTTCCCATCAAGTCCTGACTCTCAGATCTCGATCTTCTCTCTCAGGTTGCTGTTCACAAAAGCAGGATTATCAGGAGCAGGATGTGTTGTATGCAAGCAAGGCAACATTAAACAGGGAACTGGAAGTAAGAGATTTTAATGAGAATGAATTAGAAATTTCAGCATTTTTGCTATCTCTTAGTTGCTGTGCTGCTGGGGTTTCATTGAGAAAGTTCTTACCTATACCTACCAACTCCAGAGTATTTCCTACTCTTTCTTGTATCAACTTAAGAGTTTGGGGTCTGATATTAAGATCCTTGATCCATTTTGAGTTAATCTTGGTATAGGGTGATATACATGGATCTAGTTTCAGTTTTTTGCAGACTGCTAACCAGTTTTCCCAGCAGTTTTTGTTGAAGAGGCTGCTATTTCTCCATCGTATATTTTTAGCTCCTTTGTCAAAGATAAGTTGCTTATAGTTGTGTGGCTTCATATCTGGATCCTCTATTCTGTTCCACTGGTCTTCATGTCTGTTTTTGTGCCAGTACCATGCTGTTTTTATTATTATTGCTTTGTAATATAGTTTGAAGTCAGGTATTGTGATACCTCCTGCATTGTTCTTTTGACTGAGTATTGCCTTGGCTATTCGTGGCCTCTTGTGTTTCCATATAAATTTAACAGTAGATTTTTCAATCTCTTTGATGAATGTCATTGGAATTTTGATGGGAATTGCATTAAACATGTAGATTACTTTTGGGAGTATAGACATTTTTACTATGTTGATTCTACCAATCCATGAGCATGGGAGATCTCTCCACTTTCTATAGTCTTCCTCAATCTCTTTCTTCAGAAGTGTATAGATAAATGGGACCTCATAAAACTAAAAAGCTTCTGTTCATCAAAAGAAATGGTCTCTAAACTGAAGAGAACACCCACAGAGTGGGAGAAAATATTTGCCAATTATACATCAGACAAAGGACTGATAACCAGAATATACAGGGAACTTAAAAAACTAAATTCTCCCAAAACTAATGAACCAATAAAGAAATGGGCATGTGAACTAAACAGAACTTTCTCAAAAGAAGAAATTCAAATGGCCAGAAAACACATGAAAAAATGCTCACCATCTCTAGCAATAAAGGAAATGCAAATTAAAACCACACTAAGATTCCACCTCACCCCTGTTAGAATAGCCATCATCAGCAACACCACCAACAACAGGTGTTGGCGAGGATGCGGGGAAAAAGGAACCCTCTTACACTGTTGGTGGGAATGTAGACTAGTACAACCACTCTGGAAAAAAATTTGGAGGCTACTTAAAAAGCTGGACATCGATCTACCATTTGATCCAGCAATACCACTCTTGGGGATATACCCAAAAGACTGTTACTCCAGAGGCACCTGCACATCCATGTTTATTGCGGCACTATTCACAATAGCCAAGTTATGGAAACAGCCAAGATGCCCCAGCACTGACGAATGGATTAAGAAAATGTGGTATCTATACACAATGGAATTTTATGCAGCCATGAAGAAGAACGAAATGTTATCATTCGCTGGTAAATGGATGGAATTGGAGAACATCATTCTGAGTGAGGTTAGCCTGGCCAAAAGACCAAAAATCGTATGTTCTCCCTCATATGTGGACATTAGATCAAGGGCAAACACAACAAGGGGATTGGACTATGAGCACATGATAAAAGCGAGAGCACACAAGGGAGGGGTGAGGATAGGTAAGACACCTAAAAAACTAGCTAGCATTTGTTGCCCTTAATGCAGAGAAACTAAAGCAGATACCTTAAAGCAACTGAGGCCAATAGGAAAAGGGGACCAGGAACTAGAGAAAAGGTTAGATCAAAAAGAATTAACCTAGAAGGTAACACCCATGCACAGGAAATCAATGTGAGTCAATGCCCTGTATAGCTATCCTTATCTCAACCAGCAAAACCCCTTGTTCCTTCCTATTATTGCTTATACTCTCTCTACAACAAAATTAGAGATAAGGGCAAAATAGTTTCTGCTGGTATTGAGGGGGGAGGGGAGGGTGGAGTGGGTGGTAAGGGAGGGGGTGGGGGCAGGGGGAGAAATAACCAAGCCTTGTATGCACATATGAATAATAAAAGAAAAATGAAAAAAAAAAAAAAAAAAAGAAATTTCAGCATTTTAAGAACCCAATAAGGGAGGGGGTGAATTTAACTAAGATACACTGTAAGCACTTTTGTAAACATACATGGTGCACCACCAGTAAACAACAATAATGATCATAAAATAATTTAAAAATACAAAAAAAGAAAGAGCCCAGTGAAATATGGTGGGGGCAGGAGGCAAATATGGTGGGAAAGGGGGGAACACAGGCTTTCCTGACTCTCATATCATACCAGCAAGAATGGACACCCTATGTGTGACAAAGCATATAGTACTCTAGACATGTTTACTAGGAATTTCTGGCTCTCTTCCCCCTTTCTTAGCTTTACTAGACTGGAGTGGCTACTCTTAACTGCTGTTCCTGGTTAACAGACACTAACAGTCCTAGCTGTCAATGTCCATTCCTGACTTGAGTTTCTTACTGCCCTCCACATCAAGAAATCAGAGCATCTTCCTAAGCAGATGTGAAAAAGAATTTGACAATCACTACAGGGAGATTAAGAATAGCCATTTCTGCTGGAGGTGTGACTCAAGTGGCAGAGTACCTGCCTACCAAGTGTGAAGCCCCGAGTTCAAACCCCAGCACCATCAGAAAACAAAACAAACATACAAAAAAGAATACCCTTCTTGGCTCATGGTATAGGAGCTTTCTAACAAAGCAAAAAGGACAGTGATACTTTTTTTGTTGTTGTTGGACTCAAACATACTGTGCTAAATGAATGACCTTGATATAATAGCTAAAATTCTACCAACATTAGTCAAATGCAGTGGTTTGGGGATGTCTACCATTAGCTAAAATTTTTTGTGGAGTATATACACTGTAAAATTTTTCAGCTACATAAATACAATCTAAATTTTAAAAATGTTGTCCAGGCATGGAAACATGTCTGTAATCCCATCAGTCAGGAGGCAGAGGAGGATCAGAAGTTACAGGCTAAGAGGGGCTATATAGCAAGACCCTGACTCAAAAAAAAAAAAAGATAGATAAATAAAACAAACCTCTATGTAGCCACTTACTAAATCCTTAAAAAACTAAACCAAAACAAAATCCAACCTGTCATTTATTAGAAATACCTACCAAGAGTTTCACTATATGAATGTACACTCATAAAAGCATTATGAACATGAAAAGTTTTCTAAGCAGAACAGAAAAAGAAGAAACACAAATTAACATGTACTTCTAAAAATAATTGCTATTCTAAAAATATTTCTAGAAATTACTTTTCCCTTTGGCTGAGAATATCTTTAAGCAGGTCATAAAACCTTATGAACTTAACTTTATATGGTATATGTCGTCTCAAAGACATCGGAGAAGAATAAATGTGGCTATTACACCGAGTATCACTGCTGATGAAGGAGCATCATGGGAGTCTACAAGTTCTGTACTTTGAAGCCAGATCTCACTGTAATCCTACACCTTCACAGGACTCACAAAGATGCAACATAAAAAGATCTTTTTTTACAAAACAACTTTTAATAGCATACATAATTAAATATTACCATAATAAGAAATATATACTGGGCTGGTGGAGTGGCTCAAGCGGTAAAGAGTGCCTGCCTAGCAAGAGTGAGGCCTTGAGTTCAAACCCAGTGCTGCAAAAAGAAAAAAAAAAAGGGTCATCCTTTTCTACCTACAAATATATACTATATAAAAGAATATAGTAACTTCCATTGAACAGTGCTTTTATCACCGACTTTACTTCCGAAAACCCTACTAAAATGGCAAGGTAAAGAGAAGGAGAAAACTGAAGAATGGTAACTGAACCAAGAAAACAGAATTCTGAAAGCATTAGAAAAAGCCAACAACAACACAACTGAAACCGATATTCCCAAAATGCTCAGGAACTGAAGGCATGAAATACATTCAAAGGTGGGTTTGAGGGTGGGGCAAAGAACAGAAATATAGGAATTCTGAGAAGATAGCAGTGATGTAGGCATAGTTTTTTGGACTCCATGAAATTTTCCATTAAAAGCAGACAAAGCAACTAGAATAACAAAACCAAAAATGCATAGACAACATGACAACAGTAAGTGACTAAGTATCCCCACAAACCCCAAACAAGAGAAGAAGGAACTCAGAGCTGTAAAACAAGAAATGCTGGGTTTCCCACCCTTTCTCAAAGAGTTCAGGAAATCCTTTGTTTTTTCCTGAAATGTTAAAAAAAAAAAAATCATTGTTGCTGAATTCCAAATAAAATTACTATGAGAAAGAAGGCAATAAATTATAAATAATGTCCCTAGAGATAATAAAAGCAAGGAGAAATTTTAATTATAGGGCACTGGCCCAAATCAGGGTAGAATTGGAGCTTGGAAAACAGAAGGAACAAGTAAAGGTTTAAATGTCATATGTTGAGACCTAGCATCTATTCTCTTCCCCCACCTAATTCTGAGAACCTATCGGGTTTCTCTGTCAGGCAGAAGACCTGATTTTCTAGGAATCTGAGAAAAATAAGACAAAAGACTTAAGGACACTGACAATAAAGCTCCCCATTCAATCGCCTCTCAGAGAATGTCTCAGTGAACACACAGAGCTTTCAGCCTTTTCACACCTATCTCTGGTGATCGACAATCACTATAAATTGAAGAGGACTTTAAAATAGAGGCCAAACAACCAAACAGGAAAAAAAAAAAAAAGCTAGAGGGGAGGAAAATGTGTGTGTGCACACATATTTACATATAATTTTATATACATGTGTGTATCCCTTCAGATGAGTGAAAGAAAATATTCCATCTGCAAAACAAGAACATGTTCTTCAAAAAAAAAGCCAGGTATGGTGATGTACACCTGAAATCCCAGCACTTGGGAGGTGGAAGTAGGAGGATTGAAGATTCAGGCCAGCTGCACAGAAGATTGAGGGCCACACAGTATATTCAAAGCCAGTCAAGACTTACATAGTAAGAACCTATCTAAACAGAAAGAAGGAACAAAAAATAAAAATGCATTCTTGGGCATTAAGAATATAATGGTATAAACAAAAAACTCAATTTAAGGGTTTGAAACTGAGGAAAACTCCCAGGAAATAGAGCACATTATAGAAAGTTGAAATGTAGAAAAAAATGAGATAACTGATTCAGGAGCCAAAATCTGAATAACAGGTTCTATAGAAAGAGAAAGCAGATTGGACAGAAAAAAAAATTTTTCAAGTAAACTTCTCTGTATTTAAGACTAATTTTCCAATCGAGAAGAGCTACAAAATATCCACAATGGAAGAAAACACACACCAAAGCTCATCATCGTGAAATTTCCAAATTCTGGGGACAGAGAGAAGATCCTAAAATCTTTCAGAAAGATTAGAAAACAGAATGGTCTCAGACTTCTCAACATTAATTTTGGAACTTGGAAGAAAATGAACAAATCTCTCCAGAGTTTTAGGATAAAATAATTTCCAACTACACATAATCAAAGCCTGAATTTTTCTAAACTGCATTAAACAGGAGCTGCATTCATAATATCCTTTGGTACACAGTCTACTGAGTCATAGCATGACACAGATGGTGGGGACTGATAAATGGGTGCATGTGCATGTGTGCACATATGCTGGAGGTAGGATAGGTGGGAGGAGACAAAAGCTAAATCTTCAGCTTAGTATTGAGAAGTCAGTAGATAGCTCCTCAAATGGGAAAATCAAAAATAGCACTATAAGCATGCCATATGGAGGCATGAAGGTAAATATCAAAAGAAACATCTAAGAACTAAAAGTGGAGCTTCTGAAAAACAAGAAATGGAGAAAGGTCTATTTTTCATAATAGGCCTTGTAATACTATTTGTATCTTGAAATGTACATTAAAAACCAAGTAAATTTAAAAAAAATACACAGTGAACTTAGGCCTCCATATCAATAATCCTTCATTATCGTAAACAATTTTTTTCCATAGGATTTCATCCTGTAGTAAATATTATTCTTAAAAGGAAAAAATGAAATAACTTAAATTGGGTTTAACTAATGTAAAGAGAAATTACATAAATGTGCAAAAAGCATATTTATTAATGAAAACACAGATACAAAGGCAGGCAGAAGAATTCAAATGAATCATTGACTTTCAAAATAATCTTCTAGTAGAGGGTTCTAAAGTGAAGTTGCCTGTCACATCCTCAGAAAAGACATGAAACATGAATGGATTTCACCTAAGGCAATGTGCATAATCTAAATGTACCCCCAAAGTAGTAAATTTAAAATACAGACCACATTTTAGGCACAACCAAATATTCTTTCACTCTTTTCCCCAATAGTACATATGTCAGGAGCTCATTCACCCTCTCACCTGAATTGCAGAATCATCAGAACTTGAAATAAGAGTCCTTCCATCAGTTGTGAACTGGATGTGTCGCACTGGTTTCTTGTGCCTATTTTTTGATTTAAAGACTCTGTTGTTCAGAAGTTCTAAAATCTTCAAAGCAGAAAAGGAGAATGATAGAGAGGGTAAATTCAACTATGATACATTGTAAGAGCTTTTGTAAATGTCACAATGTACCCCTAGTACAACTATAGTTAAAAAAAAAAAAAAAGAAAATTACTGCAAAGAATTTAAGCAATGCCTAGGCGCTATACCCCAACAGCATTAAACTGTAAATAATAATAATAATAATATCTAACTCAGGACAGAATTCACTGAGAACATCTGGATCTGTAAATGGCAGATATTATTGCTATTATTTGATGATACTTGGCTGAACCATGTGAAATTAGCATTTTATACAATGAAAATAGATTTAAAATTTGCCAGATATTGGAAATTTCACATGGTTCATCATGTATTTATATTATCTGATGACTCTGATGAACTTAAGGATGCAGACAAAGCTTGGGGCTAATCATCAGCAACACCACCAACAACAGGTGTTGGCGAGGATGCGGGGGAAAAAGGAACCCTCTTACACTGTTGGTGGGAATGTAGACTAGTACAACCACTCTGGAAAAAAATTTGGAGGCTACTTAAAAAGCTGGACATCGATCTACCATTTGATCCAGCAATACCACTCTTGGGGATATACCCAAAAGACTGTTACTTCAGAGGCACCTGCACATCCATGTTTATTGCGGCACTATTCACAATAGCCAAGTTATGGAAACAGCCAAGATGCCCCACCACTGACGAATGGATTAAGAAAATGTGGTATCTATACACAATGAAATTTTATGCAGCCATGAAGAAGAACGAAATGTTATCATTCGCTGGTAAATGGATGGAATTGGAGAACATTATTCTGAGTGAGGTTAGCCTGGCCCAAAAGACCAAAAATCGTATGTTCTCCCTCATATGTGGACATTAGATCAAGGGCAAACACAACAAGGGGATTGGACTATGAGCACATGATAAAAGCGAGAGCACACAAGGGAGGGGTGAGGATAGGTAAGACACTTAAAAAACTAGCTAGCATTTGTTGCCCTTAATGCAGAGAAACTAAAGCAGATACCTTAAAGCAACTGAGGCCAATAGGAAAAGGGGACAGGACTAGAGAAAAGGTTAGATCAAAAAGAATTAACCTAGAAGGTAACACCCACGCACAGGAAATCAATGTGAGTCAATGCCCTGTATAGCTATCCTTATCTCAACCAGCAAAACCCCTTGTTCCTTCCTATTATTGCTTATACTCTCTCTACAACAAAATTAGAGATAAGGGCAAAATAGTTTCTGCTGGGTATTGAGGGGTGGGGGGAGAGGGAGGGGGCTGGAGTGGGTGGTAAGGGAGGGGGTGGGGGCAGGGGGGAGAAATGAACCAAGCCTTGTATGCACATATGAATAATAAAAGAAAAAAAAAGCTTGGGGCTAGCAGAGTGGCTCAAGTGGTAGAGTGCCTGCTTAGCAAGCATGAGGCCCTGAGATCAAACCCAGTACTATAAAAAGAAAAAATTATCTGGAAGGCCTAGTTTCAAGGTACTGTTTACTTTAATAGTAAAAACAAAAATAATATGGTGCTGGCTTGGCACTCAGGTAAAAGGAAAGAGTGAACCAAGGACCCTTTCAGAATAAATAATAATACATAACAGTTCGAGAGATGACACTGAGAGGGAGACTAAGGTTCACCTCTAAGTATACAATTATCCTTACTTAACAAATAACTATAATATACTTTCTCAAAATATGGCCTATCTAAACAATTAAAAAATTTTACACAATAATGAAGAAAAAATAAATTTATAACTCTGAATCTACGTCACAATGGCTACAGGGAATATGTAACAGCACTGATATCACTTCCTTCTTCCCTCTGTGTATAAGCATTTAATCTTCTCTTCTGGGGCAAGAGACAAGGGAATATTTGTATAATTCCTTATGAAAATGAACCATGTAAAGTAAATGTGGTTACCACTACAATTAATAAACTAAGAAATAATTTCTAAAGTCTAGTTCAAAAAAAATGAGAAGAGTCAATGTTCTTTAAAAATTATTCAGCTAGGGGCTGGGGGCATGGCTCAATTTTGGTAGGGTGCCTGCATAGCAAATGCAAGACCCTAAGTTCAAACCCCAACACAAAAATAAATAAATAAATAAATAATTATACAGCTAAAGTGTGCTTTTGTGTTGAATTTCATATGTGATAAAGAAGACAATACTTTTATCCAAAATGGTTTTGATTATACTATCTTTTTTGCTTTACGACCTGATTCTTTTTACTTATTTGCTCTTGTTAGATAAGTTAAGGATTTCATATGGTGAACAGGTATACTTCTAACACCAAATATAGAAAAGAAAGGGCTGGTGAAGCAGATAAGCAGAGGCAGCCCTGCACTGACAATCCCAAGAAGACTTATCAGTACCAAAGTGGAAGCAATGCACACTCCACATGGCTGAGCTTCTAAGAAGAGGAGAAAGAAAAGCTTTTTGTATTTAAGTAAAGAACAGCAAAACAACTGTTTCTTATTCTCTACAGAATAAGAAACACAAAAAGCATGAGAAGCATTAGTAAAGGCAATCTGAGAAATATGCAACCAACTAGGTAAGATGATCTTTAGTCTAATAAAACAATGACTAATGGATCACAGAATATTTGTTTATAACAAGTATGCAATGTCAAACATATAATTAAACTTAAATAAATAACTCTAGTGCACAGTTCTGAAGGCTAGAACTGAATACCTCAATGGCTCCATCTTCCTTTCCATATGCAATGTACTGAAGATGTGGACTTAAGCAACAACAGCTAATTTGAGCTTCAGTCAGATAATCAATATGACCTGTTTTTCCATTAATGACCTGATAAAAAATAAGGCATGATCAGTTATCAGGTTGGAAGAGCACTTTTTTGTTCTTTAGATCAGAGGTTTCTATTAAAAAAATAAAACACAGAAAATAACTAACAAGAGTTCCCAGAGGGAACAACAAAGCCCTACCCTAGTCTCAGCAGCTGCATTTAGCACTTTATGCTTTCATTTCATGTCATTTTTGTGGCTCAAATACATTTTCATAAAATAAAACAAGCTTTAAAAGGTTTAAAAAGCAGCTGCTGTGCCCACCACCTGAGATACATCCCACAGCTAGCTCTACATCCTGTTGTCCATTTCTTCACAAAGCCCATTTTTAATAGGGTTATCATTTGTTAAAATACACTTTTCAAAGAAGTTGGTGAAAAAGGACTAAGACAAACCTGACATAAAAAGACAACTCTAAATTTAAAAATGAGTTTTTATATCCTTCAAATCATAACACAGGGTAAATTAAGATTCCTTTCCTTTTTTGGGGGGAGGATGGGATGTCACAGACCTCATAATCATAATTTGTGTGACTGAACTTGTAATATTTAAACTAAGAGTGCCCAACTTCTTAAGCTGTATCAATGATAATGATTATTTTCTGCAATCCCACAGAAAAGATACCTTATCACTCAACTAAAACATGCAACCTGGAAAAACATTTCTCAAGCTCAAATCAGTTCTTAGACACTTTTTAGTGTCATAACCTAAAATCTTGAATTATTTCTCAAAATGATATAAGCAGTGAATGTTTCAGGTACAAAGAATATAGGGTCAATCAATTCCTTTATAACATTTTACTCGGGATACTAATCTGTTAGATATTTAAAATGAAGACTAGATTACTAAAAACTGAGCATCTTCCTCTTTCTAAAATCCATTTCAAGAGCTCTTTTAAGTAGTAACTAAAAAGTGTTTTGTTCAATTGCCATTCAGGGAGACACCTGGATATAGTGACTGGTCATAAAGACAGACAGGGCCTGATGAGGGTGAGCTGAGAATTTTAAGCAGCTTGGAGCCTGGGAAGCAAAGGATGCAGTGGTTGCGAGAGGAAGTTCCTGTGCCTGAGGACCATTTCAGAAACAGCACTGAAACCAGTTGGCTTCAGGTTCCAGGAGCTGTCTGCAGGCTGCGGGATCTGCTGTCAGGCAGGATTTATGACTATCCTGAGAATTTAAAACCAAGGGACAATCACAGTTCAGAGAGTCTTCACAGCTGGCCATACTATTTGGGAAGGAGTCAGATATGAGAGGTGGTTATGGAGATGGAGAGGCTCTAATGTGAACCCATGGAGAAGTTTAAGCACCAGGAGCTGGAGCAGTGAAGAACCTGGTGATCAGTGACTTCTCACTCCCTACGGAGAACAAGTCCGAGCACCAGAGGATCACTGTGGAACAGAGCACTGAGCCTACAATAGACAAGTGCTTCAGGAGCTGCCTGCTGGCTGTGGGAGTAGGAGTTTGTGGCCACGTATGGTTTGAGACTGAGTTACTCTAGTTACTCAAGAACTTGAAAACAAGGAATAATCACAGCTCAGGAAGTCTTGGAACCCTGAGGATGCAGTGTCTGGGAGGGAGATGGCCACAAGAGGTGGTTGTAGAGGTGAGAGGGTCTGATGTGAACCCTCAGAGAAGTGTAAGCAGGAAGGGCATGGTGGTGGCTAGTGGCCCTGTCTTCCCTGGTGAAGCAAGTCCCACTGTCTGAGAATCACAGTGGTAGCCTATAGCAGGTGGAGTGAAAGGGTTCCTGGAATTGCCTGCCAGGTGAGACTCAATTACTCTGGGGACTTGAAAACCAGGAACAACCATGATTCAGGAAGTCTTGGGATACCCCACCACAGAGTTGAGATGGTAGGCAGCACAAAATGAGGTCATAGAGAAGGAGAGAGTCTGTCATGAACTCATGGAGAAGTTTAAGCAGCAGGGAGCTCAGACAGGGAAGGATATGATGAGAGCAAGTCTCACTGATAGAGGATCAGTGAAAAAACATCACCTAGCTCGTGGCTGGCAGAATGCTCAGCATCCAGGAACTGTCTGCTAGGGGCCAGTACTTGATGCCAGGCAGGTCTGAGAGCTCTGGGCATAGGATCTGGGGATCATACTATATCCCCCAGCTGCTTTCCTCCCACAGAGTGGTGAACTGCTGAGTGGGATCTAAAAGAACTGAGTCCTACTGGCAGAGCACCTGAGCCCCTCAGTTCTCCACCACCAGTGCAGAATTCAGTGCTCTGTTTGTTTCCCCCACTATCAGGCACATTTGGGAGTTGCATGTGTGCCCCTGGCACAAGTTGGGGGTCTGTGCGGCAAGTGGGAACCTGTCTGGCCTATAGACTACAAAGCTATATGCAGCCAGCAGAGGCTTTCAGCACAGAAGGGAAGCTTCTAAAGTGATAGCATTACAGAAGTGGACCACCCTCAGTCCACTTATAACACCAACCCATATGTGAGGAACTACAAGAGACTCCAGCCAGCCTTCCTGTATCTGAGTGATGCTGGGGATCAGGCCTGGTGCCCAGAGCATGCAGGCAACAGTTTGACTGCTGAGCTACCCCCATCCAATGGTAAGAAACCATACTGCTCCCCTGCCACTACAGTCCTGTCTGAACAGTGAGAACGCTTTATCTGAAAGAATATAGGTTTCTCCTGCTCTATTTGGTTTCTCTCTCCTCTCTAGCTTACCTCACTATCTCATCTCAGCCTCTCACACATATTCTTGCTCCCAATATTTCAATAAGCAAATCAAGAAAAATCAAATGCAAAGATGGCATAACATCACATTGCAGTGCTAAAACCTTCCCCTAGGAATTAATAAAGCACTTCCAGGACTGTTGGTATAGTTCAGTAGTACAACACTTGCCTGACATGGGCAAGGCCCTGGATTTGATCCCCAGCACTACCAAAAACAGAAAAAGGAAACAAAAAAGATAGGGCACTTTTATAACCCACCTGATCGAAAAAACTAACTTGAGTTGTACATGTGTTCTAAAAGTTAATGAAAAGCTCTAAACAAATGAAAAAAAGCAGTTCATGGGGTCATTAGCCCTCACTTATGACAGGGTTCCTGTCCTTCCCAATCTTATGTCCCTCAAAGAATCCTTAGGGCAAGGGGGACTGTTTCACTAGTTCAGACAGAAGTCACATTGGCCCCTGTCCTTCTTTCCTGGTTGCTGCCCTTACTCTCAGTTATAACTCCTTATCATTCAGCTACTCCTAGAATGGCCCAGCTCTTCTGCATGGGCTAGCCACCATGAAGGCAGTCTCTGTTTGATCTTCTGTGTGGTGTTTGCTTTCTTCTTATTGCCACTGTGTATAATGCTACCACAAGTTTCAGAACTTTTCTATCAAAGCAAGGCCAACTGCACTGGACAACATTCAGAGGACATTTTATTCAGGCTACAAACCCAGTGCTGTTGACCTACTGCTGAATGCCAATGCTCCTTAAGGTATCTGCTCTCTCTATTACCACCACTCAGAGCTCCTAAATACCATTATTTTACCAATGAGTCTCTGGGACTCCTCCAGCCAGTAGAGAAACTTCTGTTTGGGTGAGGAGAAGAACAACTGAGAGTATGGATCCCAAAGCAATGTAGTTCTTTCACTGTTATAACACAACCCCCTCCTTCCTAAGGACTAATAAGCACTCAATAAATATTTATTGAACAAATGTGTGAGTAAATGAATGAATGAACAATTATGCTTCAGATTTAAAGACCTGAGTTCTGATGGCTCAGACATGTGGAGAAGTTCAAGTTATCTTTTGGTATTCCTAAGACACTTTGCTAACCAAGGAATGTGATGATAGATACCAACACGAGAGGAGCAAGGTAAGGTGAAGCAGCATAATTTAATTCTAAATCACATCTGAGCCACAGCTCAAGACCCATATATCTATTCCTCCTGGGCACCTGGATCTCAAATGCAAAACAAACAAGAAAAATTATAAGTTCAATCAAAACAATTTTTCCAATTATTTTATAAAATATCTTATTAAAATACTTACTTGTAGGCGTCTTATATTGTCAACTGCAAGGACTGTCACTTCATTTTCTTGAAACACAACATCTATTTCTTGCTTTAACACTATAGCAGAGTTCTTACATACCTTCTTTGTCTCCCAGACCTGATTGAGAGTTAAGAAACTAAAATAACTATGTTATCAGTCCATCCTCTGAGATAACGTAAAGATAAATCTTAGTCCTTTTTTTTTGTAGGACTGTGATTTGAACTCAGGGCTTCGCACTTGTAAGGCAGGCGTTCTACCACTTGAACCAAACCTCTAGTCCAAGTCCTAACTCTTAAAGTAAGATAACAAATTACTTCACAATTAAAATGTCCATGATACAAGATAATTTTAATTATAATTCAATAATAAATATTTATTAATACCTTCTATAGTAAGAAGCAGTTGGTATTAGGAACTATGGCCCCTAAAGCCAAAATGCCTCAGCATGAATTCCAGTTCCACATAAGTTGTGACTTTGGCCAGGTAACTTAACCCAAAGCTACTCAAACATAAGGACCACCTGAAGGTTCTCAAACTATCTGATACCAGTCTGCAAGAATACACAAAACTAGCACCAGAATGTAATCAACTGTATCACTAAACAATCTATAACATAGTACATAGTTACAGAGTTTATTGTTTATAAGAAGATCTCTTTGATGAAGGAAGCAGTAAGTTGATTTTTATTCTAACTCAAACTTAATGAGACTGGCACATTAACTAGCACTGGACTTTCTGAGATTTTTCTGGCCCTAACCATTCTGTGCCTGTTTCCTCAACTGCAAAAAAGACTGTGGGAGAATTAGTAAATTAATACATATATAGCACTTTGGGCAATGTCTGGTACACAGTAAAAAGTTTTAGCAAGATGATTTGTATAAAACACTGTATTATGTTAGATGCTATAGGCACCACACAGAGTTCCTGGACTCAAAAAGGAATACATAATTCTAAAAGGTGTGAATAAATCATAGGAACAGTGGAGCACAAAAGATGTGCAGTAAATCAAATCTGTACTGGAAGTCAGAATTTGATTAAGCACCATTAGAAATAAACAGAATTACATGGCATTAAAGGAGACAGACACTCCTCCAAATGAGGAAGGTTTGAGGGGATTTTGGGATGATCATGCTAGAGGAGGGCATTAATGGGAGTGGGAGGACAAATGAAGAAAGAAAAGGTGAATATGGTTTATGTACTTTCTATACAAGTATGAATATGGAACATTCAAACCTGCTGAAATCACCATAAGAAGATGACAAAGGTAGAAAGGAGAATAATGGAGGGGATATATATATATATATATATATATATATATATATATATATATGTGTGTGTGTGTGTGTGTATATATATATATATTTCATACATATATGTATGTATGAAATGTCACAATGAAACTCCCTGTATAACAATCATAAACAAACAAAAATGTCCTTTTAAAAAAATTAAGGACAGTCATGTCTAGGGGTTGGTATCAGTGGGAGGGCATAAGGAAAGGGTGAAGGAGGGCAAATACGGTGGAAGTACTATGTATTCATGTATGAAAATGGAACAATGAGACCTGTTGAAACTATTCTAAGAAGGGGAGGAAGAGGAAAAAAAGAGAATGATGGAGGGGGAAAATCTGAGATATACTGTAAGCACTTTTGTAAATGTCACAATGTACCCCCCTGTACAACTATAATATGCTAATAAATAAATAAATAAGGGAGGAAAAATATTTCAACAATTAGAAATACAGGCAAGTAAAGTATTCTAAACATAGGAAGACATATAAGCAGAAGAATCTAAGAAGCAGGGTGTTTGGTTACCTAGAAAACAAAGTGAAAGACAGATTGGAGCCAAATGAGACCATACTGCGAAGAAGCTTAATGGTAGACTTAGAAGTATGTATGTGTCTGCTATGGTAAACACGAGAGTACTATCTGAGCAAAAATGACATGACCAGGGAAGTAAGTGTAGTTCAGTTGTAGAGCACATGTTTAGCAAGCATGAGGTCCTGGGTTCAATCCCCAGCACACCCCGCTCCCACCAAAAAGACTTATTGTATACAAGGAAAATATCTTAAAAGCAACATGTAAAAAAACAAGAAAGAAGACTTGTAGCAGAGCCTAATACAAAAGAGGCAACAGGTAACGAAGATCTGAATCTGGGAAGTAGGAATGAAAAAGTAGAGATAAAGGACAGAAAAATGCAAAAATAAAATTTATGAGAATTAACAGATATGGGAATTCAAGGTAAAGAGTCAAAAATTACTCTGGAATCAAATGTAACATGTAAATTAACAAAAATACAATTTAACCATTAGACTTTCCACAAGACATGAACATGTCTGAATGAGACCATTATAATCCACACAATCACACTTTCCAGAATGAATATGAACTAGTAACTTCCTATTTTAATCCCCTAATACTGCCATCAATTTCTTAGTTTATAGAAGGCTATATCACCATGTTTAAAATGAAAATCTGATTATTTCTCACCCTGATTGTCTGGTCATCAGAAGATGTCAAAAACGATGATCCATCAGGAGAAAACATCACACTGTGAATCCAACTTAAATGTCCTCTGCAATCAGCTACCTTTAAGCATGAGTCTATATTCCACAACTACAGAATAAACACAGAATACACGAAATCACATTCATAAGCATTTTGAATATAGCAAGAACACTGAAAATAGCAAGAGTAACCCAGCAATACTACTTCTACAAATATAGTCCCAAAACACACTGTCAAAAATATAAAATGGTTTGTGCAGAAGATCATTCATTATACAATTATTTTTGGTAGCAACAATAATGGAATAACCCAAATGACCATGTGGGTGTAGCTCAGTGGTAGAATGCATACTTAGCAGGCATAAGGACCTGGTTTCAATCCCTAGCACCAAAAAAATAAATAAATATAGAATACATGACTGTATTACACATAAGAAAAACATCTTGAAGCAGCAAGGAAATCAACTGAATAAACTATAATTAATCACATAATGGAGTCCTATGCAAAATGGAATGAGAAAACAATATATCTCTAGGACGTATTGTTAATAGAGGAAAAAAAGCAAGAGTTTACATACTATACTATATTTTATATAAGATTTAGAAATACAAGCCAGGTGTGGTGGCTCACACCTGTAATCCTAGCTATTTGGAAGGCAGAGATCTGGAGGATTTGAGTTCTAGGCCAGCCAGGCAAAAAATTCATGAGGCTCCATCTCAGCCATAAAAAAGTGGGCTTAGGGCTGGTGGAGGGGCTCAAGTGGTAGAACGCCTGCCTAGCAAGCATGAGTCCCTGAGTTCAAACCCCAGTACCACACACACAAAAAAAGTTGGGCTCAGTGGCATGCACCTGTCATCCCAGCCACATGGGAAGTATAAACAGGAGGATCACAGTCCAGGACAACTTGGGCATAAATACAAGACCTTATCACAAAAATAAGAAGCAAAAAGGGCTGGGGGCATGAGTCAAGCGGTAGAGCACCTGCCTGGCAAATGTAAGGCCCTGAGTTCAAACCCTAATACCACCAAAATAACAACATCAAAAAAGAGTTGGAAATATAAATATGTGAACATATAGATAGATACAGATTTGAGTATACACATGCATATATATGTTTGCTTATATTTGCAAGAAGCATTGCTACCTGTGGAGTGGGAAAAGTGAGTAAAAAGGAAGATAAGGATAGCAGTGAGGTTTCTCTGAATATAACTTATTATATAGCTTTGAGTTTTAGAATCATGCAAATGTTTTATCTATTTTTTAAAAATCAACCTAAAAAATAATAGAATGAACAGAGGCAGCTTCCATATACAGACTATTTTTCACTAGTACTGTCATCTAACTTTCATTTGAACTGACTGGAAAATTCTACAATAATGAACACACTAATAGTAGCATGCACACACTTCTCTTATTATTCATGCTCATCACAAATTGTCAATGTCTACCACCAGCCTGGCTGTATTTTGTCCTAGGTTCTGCTATAAATGTACTCAAATACACTCCAGCCTAATGAAGTACCATATGTGCCTGAGTTCTTCTCATTACACTTTGGATTACACACCTACTTTATGATTTCAGAACTAGCATGACCAAAACAAGTACTTCACCACATGCCCAATGGTTTTCATGTGGTGAGTTCTGTGGTTACAAAATATATGAAATTTCATCTGCCTTATCTCTAGAGTCCAAGCTGGGACATACAGCACTAAAGACCAGAAATGAAAGTGGTTCCACAGCTGAAAAATCTCCCTTCAGAATCCTTCTCCCGTTCCCTCGTTTTCTCACCATCTCTCTCCCGTCATTTCTTGGTTATACAGAGCTTCCAGAGCCAGGTCCCTACATTTCAAGAAGGAAGACATTGCTTCCCAGAGTTTTCTAGGGATGATGGGATAAGCATCTTAAACGTGACAGGAAAGACTCTTCCACTCCTTCTAAAACTCCTGACAAAACCCAGAGAGGGGAAAATTCTAGTCAAACCTACTTTGAGGATCTACAGGTAAGGTTTGAGGTCTCCTAGCAGATCTGAATCTTCTAGTCTAAAGCTTCTGCCTAAGAGAACGCAGCACTGTACTTCTTCCCACTGAACTGAACAAATAGGATTGAAGCTCTTTAGCTTGCTGCCTCTGCTTGCAACATGAAGGTTCTCAGCATGGAAATCCTTCAGCATTACTTACACTGCTATTCTTAAGAATGAGGAGGAGTCTACAGAGCTTACCCCTTGCTCTCATCTATTACCGCCACACAGAAGGGCTACAGCTTGGCAACTCTCACCCAAAGCTTTAACAGTAGGGTGTAAGGTTGGCAGATTCACTAAAAACTGCTGAAACAAGCACATAACACCAAAGAAGTGCTTGCTGTAGTCAAAGTTCCCTTTAAGAGAAGCCTGTGAACCACACCAGTTTCTTTGCTCTACAGATAAAGACTCATCCCCTCTTCTTAGAACATCAATCTCGAGGGGTCTCCAACTACCTGCTGGTAAGACCAAACGAAGGAATAGTATGAAAGCTTAGAAAAACAAAACCATTTTTGATGGAAAAATAAATGCTTTTTAAACAAATGAATATACCAACTCACTGGGTAGAATTCTTCCAGGGCCAATTAGGTGGGACTCTGAATATAAAATTTATTAGATAAGTACAAAATTATAAATATAAACAATTTATAGGAGTAATCTTATTTACTAGTGCTTGGCAATGACAATCGGAGCTTAACCAATGTGAAATATAATTTCCACCTTATGCTAGTCAATTGTCTAAGAATCTGAACTGAACTCTTTTCATTTCTTTTAAAAAGAAGAGTCGGTACCTATACTGTTTAAGAAATGCCCTATTTCAGCCTAAGAAACCAGTGTTTCCCCAGATACTAGTATATACTAGACACACAATAAATGCTTGGTGAATGGTACTTTCATTCCCTATCATACTGTTAAATCAAGTCTTCAGTCACTGTTAAAATAATAAAGCTGGCTATATAGTTTAATATTCCAAAGTTAAAGATTATTAGGGTATGTAGAAAATACTCTATAATTTCTCAAGGAAGCATTCTCAGCAGGAAAAGATTTAGGAACCCATTCTCTATCATCCTTGGATCTCTAGAGAACCCAGACTTCAGTGAATAAATTCATCTACTCACCTCCACACAATACTGGGACAGGGCCACCACTGCCAAATGGTTACAAGGGGAAAAATCACAGTACTGGATGGTGCTGTGATGGCCCGTGTGGATTTCTGCCAATAGGCCACTGGAATGAATGTCAAAGAGCTGTCAATATAAAGAGATACAGATGAAGGTAAAATATTTTAAAAGACAATCTAGACCCATACTTAATCTAAATTTATTTTTAAAAGAATCTTCCATGTAAAATATAAAATGTATGTCCTGATACACTAAACTGGCACAATTACTGAAAATCATAAATAAGATGTAGATCAATATACATAATACATACACTTTTTACAGTATACGTACTTGAAACGTATTTTATATATAGGAAAACTCATCACAGATGAGCTCTCAAGCTTGTCTAGTGAGAAATAAAATCTTTGTGAATAAATGAATAGACTAAGCCAAATTAACATACAGAGTAGTTCTCCCTAATGCTTGTTTATTCACAAGAGAAAATGCACACTCACAAATGAAGATTATCAAAATAATATACAGCAGAAGCTCGCTAAAATGAAATTAGCTCAATCATTTCTATTTCTCTCTAGGGCTACCAAATTACTCCATTATGATTCATCATTTTCCATTTTTGAACAAAAAAAATCTATTTTTTAGTAATTCAACCTTCTTCATTTCAACTTTTGAAAGGTTTTTAAATGCTGAATATGTTCTTTCAAAGTTTTTCCCCAAATGATAGATGGTTTACAGCTAATACATACATAGAATATGTCAATACAGTCTAACTATTTAAGACCAAGGCTTAGATAGTGCTCAGGAAGAAAATAAAGGATTCCAGTGGGAGTCATAAAAAGGGAACATGCACAGATAGAAAAGAGCACAGCACTGGAGGCAAAAACAAAGGTCAGAAAATCATATTTAAATGCTTCCCAGGGCAGGTCATTCTTAAACATTAGTGGCTAAAAGTAAATAAGACACTGTCCCAATCATGGAGCAGCAAAAGAGAAAAAAACAATGGGAATGGACTAACAATAAAGAGGTGGAAAGAAACAAGTGGAGGAAGAAGGTGAAATCAAGGAGTAAAAAACTGGAATCTACATGTAGCCAAGGGAAATCCTATGGCAGTTTTATTTCAGCATGGTAAAATAAGGAGCTGGTCAACAGGTTTTTAAAACAACCAGGCATTTCAATGAAGTGTAAGAATTTTTTTTTCCTTTTTCACTACAATAGAGCTCTTAAAATCTTCTCTAAAAATCTTTCCCTCAACATCATTGGTCATCAGGACAATGCAAATAAACCACAATGAGGTACCACCTCAAACCTACCACGATGTCTACAGTTTTAAAAATGGAAATAAGTGTTATCAAGGATGTGGGGAAGTTGGAGCCCTTATTCATGGCTAGCAGGAATGTAAAATGGTGCAGCTTCTATGGAGAAGTCTAACAGTTCCTCATAAAGCTAAATATAAAATTCCCATTTGACCTAGCAATTACACTCACAGGTATTAAAAAAATATTAAAAGCAGGACCTTAAACAGATACTTGTACACCAGCACTCATTGCCATGTTATTCACAATAGCCTTAAAGTAAAAATAAGCCAAGAATCTATACACAGGTGAACAAATAAAATGTGGCATATATAAACATAAAAAGGAATGTAGTCCTGATACACACTACAACATGGATGAACCTTGAAAACATTATGCTCAATGAAATGAGCCAGACACAAACAGGCCAGTCCTATACAATTCAATTTGTATTAAATTCATCAAATAGGTAAATTCATAGATTATGTTAGAGGTTACCAGGAGCTAGGAAGACAGGGGAATGAAGAATTATTAATGGTTATGGGGTTTCTGTTTGAGGTGATGAAAACACTTTAGAAATACATAGTGGCAACATTTTGAAAACACGATATTATGAATACAATGAGTAATACTGAATTGTACACTTAAAGTAGTTAAAATGGCAAATTTTACATTATATATTTCAAAACAAAATTTAATTTTTTTAATCTTCAAATCTTACAATGTAATGGTTCCTTTTGTTTTCTTAGAGACATTAACAAATTTAAAACAAAAGGAGGTATTTTTCTCTTAGCCTCTTGCTAGACGTATACAAATCTATGAGCAACCAAGGCCCCAAGGTTTACAGGTACTAAATCAGTAACAATCTCACACACACACAGATGCTCAGTGAGTTTTTATACAACTGTTGTAGAGCTCACTAATGTTCTTTAAAATAACAGTACCTATTATTCAAGTCTTTTAAGATTACTATTAGAATATCAGTGAGCCATAAACCAGAAGACCTGGCTGTCCTATTCACAGGGCAACTGTAGACAAACTATGTGACTGTGCTGAACCTCAGTTGCCCCAGTGTTAACACAGGGGTACTGCAATCTGCTGTCTCTTTTTTTTTTTTTTTTTTTTTTTTTTGGCATACTGGGGTTTGAAGTCAGGGCCTCACACTTGCTAGGCAGGCACTCTACCACTTGAACCACTCTGCCAGCCCTCTTCGCTATTTTATCAAAAGAAATTACATGCAGGTGTACTCTGAACACCACATATACGTGCTATCATTGAATCTAAAAAAAGAGGAAGGTGCCAGGTGTGGTGGTTCGTGCCTATAATCCCGACTACTCAGGAGGTGAAGACAAGAGGATAGCAGTTCAAGGTCCGTCAGGACAAAAGTTAGACTTTATCTCAAAAACAAGTCAGGGCAAGCCAGGGGAGGGCACACACCTGTGGTCCCTGCTATTCAGGAGGAGGAGGAGGGAGGATGGCAGTTTGAGGTCAGCCCAGGCAAAGTTAGAATGAGACCATTTCTGAGAAAAAAATAAAACTAAAAATGAAAGGACTTGGGGCATGACTCAAGTGGTACAGCACTTGCCTAGCAAACATGACATCCTGAGTTCAGTCCCTAATACCACAAAAAAAAAAAAAAGAGAGAGAGAGAGAAGTATTCTTATCTATTTTATGAAAACCTCACAGTCTTCTTTAGTCGTTAATGAGTATTTATCTCTATCAGTCTTCAAAACAAAACTTTAGGGGTTAAAAGTACTATGGAAATTACTTAAATCAATGGATTTGAAGTCAGTTAAAATAAAGAGTGATGCAAAAAAGACTGTTTGTTTTAAATAAACTGGAAGAACATTGGACTCAACACTAAAAATTATTTCTATATGATAGGGTTACCCAGGGCATTAAACATGTAGTTCACCCTGTGTAGCTTTCATAGCAGAAGGCAGTATATATCTTTTCCCAAACCTGGGTGACTATGAAGGCCTTTTTTCACAAGGCCTTCCAAATCCCCTAGAGCATGATTCAAAAGTTAGAAAGTCTGTTCAAAATTACACAGCTAGACTTTGTTTTATACCAGGAAATAATATAAAACGCAAAAAATAATAGAAGTTTTAATTTTCTTTAAATCAGACTAAATTTGGTCTTTAAAATTCTAGTACTTACAAAGATTTTGGTTTTTGCTGCCACCAGTATCCTAGCACCATCAGCAGACCACGAACAACATTTCACTATCACTTCCACATCCTCTTGAGGGTCTTCTGAACTTTGGAAGAACTGCTTCACATTAATGCTTTTCCTCTCGTTTGCTGATCTTACGTCCCAAAGCTTCAGATTAATAATAATAAAAAAAAAAGGGTTGTGTACTTCTCAACTCATACTTCTAGAATTCCACCTAGATTAAATGTCATGCAACACCCTCTACCTAGTGAATTATTTTTACCTATGCATAACTTTGTATGAGGCCTTTTAATTAAGTACTCCAGTTTCATTCAGCACATTCTTAACAGGAAAATATTAGAAGCACTGACCAAAAGATAGAATGCAGAATGTAAAATTAGATAAAAAGTTAATAGAGTCTTACATGATGTAGAGGAGGCTAAAGGTTAGGTGTTGACAGTAAGAATGAGTGTGGAAGAAAGGGGAGATGAAGACAGTCAACTGGCCACTGCTGCCCTCTGCTGCCAAGCCTGAACTGTTCTTCACTTCACATGAGCAGAAGACTACACAGACCCAGCCCAAACCAAATTATAATCCCAAAGAGTCTCCAAAGACACAGGGAAGCCCCTGAAAACAGAAACACAGATGTGCTGACAAGAAGCAAGACTCCTTTGTGCTTGGTGAGGCTAGATAGGGCTATGAAACTAACTGGCTCCTGAGAAATGGGGTACAAAATGCTCTAAACCTCACTCTAGAGCAGTACAAAAAAAAAAAGCCTTTGAAATGACACATCTTAGGGCTAGGGGAGTGGCTCAAATGGTAGAGCACCTACCTTCCACGTGTGAGGCTCTAGTCCAAATCTAGTACCGCCAAAAAAGAAAAAAAACACATTGGGGAAAAAAAAAAAAAAAGATGTATCTACTCTACCAGACTTCCAGCAGAATGCACAATGTCCCAGTTTCACATGATGATGGCTAGCTACCATGCCCAGAAAAAACGCTGGCCAAAGAACAAAATAAATAAATAAAGAGAAATAAAATAAATGCTTCTCAGGCTTTAACTTGGCTTACAAAGCATAGGTCCCAGGTAAAAATCTGATTTGTCTGGCCAGGCACATCTTTCTTTTTTTCTCTCTTTTTTTTAACTCAATACAAGTGCTCTGCCACTTGAGTTATGCCCTCAGTACTTTTGTTTTTATTTTTGAGATGAGTCTGGCTAACTTTTCCTGGGTTGGCCACAAATTTGGGATTCTCCTGAGATTATAGGTGCGAAGTATTAAATGTGCTAAGAAAGATGACAAAAATTTTCTCATTGTAACAACTGTGGACAAAATGAATATAGCAAAAGAGACAGCAGGGACTCAATTGGTTAGCCTTCCCTGATACTAAAGAGACAAAAAAACTAAACAAAACATGAATGCCAGAAGCTTCAGTCTTAAAACCCAGAATATATGAGAAATCACACTATTTCCCTATTAAAAGGAAAAACAAAGCAACCAGTGCCCGGAGTAAGAAAGAAAAACAAAGCTAACATAATCAAATTTCATTATTTCTGCCTAAACTATACCTGCTTCTGGACTGGACTTCAGCTCGTCACTAAGCAGTGATAAAACCTCAAGGGAAGCCAGGTGCCAGTGGCTCACGCATGTAATCTTAGCTACTCAGGAGGCAGAGATCAGGAGGATTGTGGTTCGAACCCATCCGGGCAAATAGTTCATGAGATCCTATCTCAAAAACACCCAATCACAAAAAAGGGCTGGTGGAGTGGCTAAAGGTGTAGGCCCTGAGTTCAAACCCCACTAACACACACACACACACAAAAAGCCTTGGGAGATAACTTCAAGGGGCCAGGTAAACTAACATCAGCATTCCACTTGGAGCAGGTCATTGCAATGTACCCAGGATTTCTGTGCACTCTGTGCCCTGTGTGCTTTAAATAACAATCTTTAAATAAAACTCACATTTTAAAATAGTTTAGCATCAAGACCCAAAAAGCACAGGCTTATCAACATGATGCCTTACAGGAAGCTTAGAAAGTTACAGAGCCATTGGGGAAAAATGATTTTACAGTTCTCATCCTCTCGGATGGAAGTATTTCTGACCTTGAAATACTGTTACCTAACATCATTTTGCAGGACTTCTGCTTACTACCTGACCCCTAACAGTGAGAACTAGTGACATGCCTTTACAGCACTGTGGGAAAGCTACTACAAACACCGGCAGTTCTCCCCAACAGCACAGTAATGTCTGCTCCCCACTGCTTGTGACCCTCACATGAATACAGAAGTCAAAACTTGTCCCTGACAAATGAGGACTTAAAAAAATTTCTCTCTGAGTTTGAAGCAGTCTTAGTTTAATTTGAAGGGATACAGAAAGAGTTATCACTTTTAAACACATTTATAAAACACGCTGCTAGTCACTCTGAGATTATACCTATATCAATCAGATGTAATGCTAGCTTCAGGAGTCTTCATGCCAGCCAGAGAGGTAAGACAAGCAATAAGTAACTCGAACACAGGGTATGTCAGGTATGTCATTTGAGAGGAAAAGACAGCGCAGTGAGAATGCTGCATGCCAGCTCCGGGCTTGGAGAACTTTGCACAGGAGGTTGCCACCTCACTGTATTCCCAGATTAGCCTATGCCACCTTTGAATAGATAAAATTTTAACATCAAAAGGACAGGATGATGCTGGGTGCAATGGCCCACGCCTACAATCCAAACTACTCAAGAGATGCAGATCAAGAAGATCGCAGGTCAAGGACAGCATGGACAAAAAGACTCCATCTCAACTAATAAGCTGCATATGGTGGTTCAGACTGTAATTCCAGCTATATGGGAAGCATAAATAGGAGGATCACAGTCTAGGACAGCCTGGGCAAAAACCTAAGACCCTAGTCCCCAAATAACTAAAGCAAAAAGGGCTCAAGTGGTAGAGTGTCTGCTTAGCAAGAACAAGGCCCTCAGTTCAAATCCTAGTACTGACCAAAAAAAAAAAAAAAAAGACATGAAGAACTCCCTAGGGCTTAGAAGTGAGCATAAACTAAAGCACAAAACAGAAACAAAGACATCAAAAGGAAAACAAGCTCAATCTGGTTGTCGCACCAGGTACCTGAGCACTCCTCAACAGAGTACTTTGCTTATCTGCTCTCAAAACACCCTCTATGGGTGGGAGACATGGTTCAAATGGTAGAGCACAGCCCAGCAATACACGGCCCTGAGTTCAATCCCCAGTACTGCAAAAACAAACAAAAAAACTCACTATATATATAGCTGGGACTCCATGGCCCCAAGAGGAGCTCTTGAACCAAGGAGCTCGAGGCCAGTCTGGCCAGTAACACAGTGGGACCCTGTCTTCTTAAAAACACACTTAAAAAAAAGAAAAGAAAGAAAAAACCTACCAGGTATGTAATTTTGTTATTTTCATGGTTCATCTATTCACTTACCTTCTTCCAACTTGATACTGAATAGCCTCAAGCCAGAGAGTGTACTTTTCCTTCTTTTAGTATTTAAAACCCAAATGCCAAGCTAGTACAGTAACTGACTGTAAGTGAATAATAAATACATTCCAAATGAAAAGACAGATTAAATCCAAGTTTCAAGCACAAGTGAGCAGAGACAACAGTATTAGAGAAGGAAATAAAGTCAGGATAAAGACACAGACAAAACATATACATTCATCTCCATGCCTTCTCAAAACTCAGGTAAAACAACAGTAAGGGAATTTTTTTCTCTAGGCATAATCCACAGGCAAAGGAGAATGGTAGAAGAGATGGCAGCAGCAAAGTTTCTAGAAAGACAAATGATAAGGAGACTCTTAAAAACTGAATCCTGAAGCTAGACACCACTGGCTCATACCTGTAATCCTAGCTATTCAGGAGGCAGAGATCAGGAGGATGGTAGTTTAAAGCTAGCCCAGGCAAATAGTTCATGAGACCCTATCTCAGAAAAAAACTCATCACAAAAAAAGGGCTGGTGGACTGGCTCAAGGTGGAGGCCCTGAGTTTAAACCACAGTACCTCAAAAAAACAAAACAAAACCGAATCCCGAGCCTGCAGTAGTTTTCGTAAACCCAGAAGTCCAATTCATGCCACAAATCTCCTAAAAGTCTCAGAAAGTGCTGGCCCCTGGTACCTTTCTAGGAAAGGTGGGGCTAAATCAGGAGAACTCTTTAAAAATAGATTGAGATCTCTTCCCTCACTCTGTAGTCCACACAATTGGCTACTTCCCCCTAAGAATAGAGGGTTATTCTACACTCAACACAGTTGAGAACAAGATCTCCATACTGAAAATAGGGAAGTTAAGTGAAAGTCTATATTCCCAACGTTGAGATCTCTGCCTAGATATCTTCTCAGAAAGTGCAAGAAAGACTAACCCCTATAAGTAGGAGACTGAAGATTTCTCTCCGAATACTCAACTAGATCAAGACCAAAAGACAATCTGGTATCAGGAGGTCACTATCAAAACACAAAAGCCAGAAAACCAGTTCTGTAGCAACACATAGTTCCTAGTCTTGGTGCTGCACTCTAAATATGAGCAGATAGGCCAAAATCAGACAGTTAAGATAGATCTCTAAAATGTAGACAGAAACTAAAATCAAGAAACAGAAACAACAAAACATGCACTGGTGGCTCATGCCTATAATCCTGAGATCAAGAGGACTGCAGTTATAGTTTGCAAGACCAGAAAAACAACAAATATTACTAATTACTAAATTACTTTTAAATTTGTACTATTACTAATACAAAAAGAAGCATTGTAACCATGAGATAACAACAGGATATTTCAAAAAGAAACCGATTCTAAGAATGGGTACTTAAAATTATGACACCAGAAATTAAAATCAAAATAGAAGAACTGGAAAATCCTTAAAGAAATATTCCGGAAAGCAGGAAAAATGGGCAAAGAGAAAAAAATGTAAAAATAAAAAAACATAAATTTTCCAGAAAAAGAAAATAGAGAAAGAAATCAAATAATTCAAGGAGACTCCAGAACTGAAGGATATGCGTTTCAAAATTGTAAGAAGTCACCAAAGTGACAAGCATTATCAGAGAAAACAGATCTAGACTGGAGGCACTAGTGGCTCAAGTGGTAGAGTGCTCTCGAGGTCCCGAGTTCAGTCCTCAGTACCACACCAAAAAAAAAAAAAAAGTGAGAGGAAAAAGACCCACACCAAGGCACATCATGAAATTTCTAAAAAAAAAAGGTATAAAGAGAAGATGCTATATGTGTTAAGACAGAAAAACAGATCACATATTAAATCAGAATTAAGATTGGCTTCAAACGTCTAAAGAGAAAAACCTTGGAAACTAGAACACAAAGGAGCAACGTCTTAAAAATTCTAAGGAAAAAGTATTTCTAACCTAGAATTTTGTATGCAGTCAAAATGATAAACTAAATATGACATTATTATAATAAAGATGTCTCAAAAACTTACCTTCCATAGGTTCTCTCTTAAGATCAAGTTAATAGAATAAACAAGAAAGATAAGAAACCCAGGAAATGAAGGTTTCAAATTAAAAGAAAAACAAAAGGAATCCTAGAATGATGTAATGATCCCAGGATGGCAAATGGACAATAGGAATAGTAGTTCCAATCAGAATGGAGGAAGATACAACCCTCCAGAAAAGTTAGTGACAAAAAAAGAAATTTGTCAAATACCTGCTATGTGTGAACAATTTAAGGAGCAAGTCAAACAGATTTTAAAGATAAGCACATAAAAAACTAAGCAAATAAAAAAGAAAACACTATTAGTAACCTCAGAGAAAACAAAGTTGTATGAGAAAGGGAAAAAATATACTATATAACTTTATTGGTTAGTCACAATGATGTAATAAACTCCAAACACTATCTAATCAAAATCATGAAACATACTGGGACCCCAAAAAGTGGGTCACTTTTGTGAAGAGAATCATTAGTTCAACTTGGAGCAGAATAACTCTGAGGCACAGTGTATCATCTATGTGACAATTAGGAAGCAGTTTGAAATGCAGAACACAAGCACTTAAGAGAAACGAGGCTGCAGGTAACACATCTGAAAATCACTCACATAAGGGAGATGAGCACTGAAGCCCATGAGACTGGATGAATTGCGATAGAAAAGAAGCAATAGAGGTGGTGGTCAAGGTTAAGTGCTGCAAAAACAGCTAAATTTTAACAGGCAGGGAAAAGAAGGGGTTAGAAAGATAAAATGAGAAAAATTTAAACAGGTTTTATTCAAATGAGGGGAGTTCCAAAGAGGAGCTAGGAGGTCAACAGGAGGTTAAACACCACACAACAAAAAGAATAAAGATTGGGTAAGAAAAATGCCAGATTAGACTTCACAACAAAAATTGGAGACTAAAAATAAAACTGGATTTTACACTCTTAAAGGGAATTCAGGGAAGATGGAAGAAGGCTTATCTGTTTCCTAACCCCAGAGACCTCAGATATCAGATGAATAGATGCTTAAAATGGAATGTGTGCTTAAGATTTAAGAATTCAAACATAGGTTATACACCATTCATGAATAATCATCATGATAAAAAATTAGCTATTTTAAGTATGTTCCTGGAAGTTGAAGGAAGAAGCTCTTTCTGTAGAAATGAAAAATACAGTGCTATCGTTTGGATCTTGAAACGGACCCCAGCCCACTCCTGCTGCCTGGCTACCGGAAGGTAAACAGTGGCCTCTGCCACATACTCCGTGCTATGATGAACTGCTTCATCACACAAACAAACTCAACAGGATCAAACTGAAACCTGTAAACCCGTGAGCCAAAATAAACCTCTCCTCCCATAAATTGTTCATCTCTGGTACTGCGTCACAGTGGCAAAAACCTGACTAACACAAGCAGAAACCTATGTCCATAACCAAATCATAATGTCTTCCATAAAATTGTAACCCATTCTGACAACATACAAAAGCTTACCTTTAAAGTTCCATCAGCTGAACAGCTAGCCAGAAGCTCATCGTCTGGTGAAAATCTGCAGTGATTGATTGAGTTTGTGTGGCCAAACATAGTATTTCGACATTCCTTTTGATTCAAATCCCAGAGCTACTTGAGAAGGATAAAAAGATAGATAAAAAGCTAGTGTTGGCACCAGCCAGGCATAGTGACAACAACTGTAGTCCCAATTACCTGGGAGGAAAACCAGCCCAATCCAGGCAACTATATAGCAAATACTGAAAAAGCCTAGCACTGAACGGGGAAAAGTCAGAAATCACATAAAGTTCTTCCTTCCTTTCCATATAAGCTTTTTGGGTTACAGAATGATCAATTCACAGTAACGCAGAGGAAGATAAACTTGTGATTAACAACAGGACAACCTTTAGATCAACACTAGATCTACTAAGGGACTTACTTAGGAGATTCACTAGGCTTTTAATCAGAGCACACTTACTGCTTATTTTAACTGAGTGGTTTAAATCATCATTATTTTTACTCAGATACAAAAAGCTACAATTAGTAGTATGTAATACAAATTGCTCCCATATTTTCTTAAATTTTAGGTTATAAAAATGGTCATTTCTCAGATTTCTCAAACTGTGAAACAAACAACTACATTAATAACCAACGAGGCCAATTATTTAAAAAATTCAAAGAAAGTCTTTAGTTTATATAAATACAGGGAAAACAAGGAGTGAGAAGATCAAGTCAAACGTTTCCAGGGAGTCAGCTAAATACAGAATGTGATATATTATATGAAACAAGCAACTCAATTTCTCCAACGAAGGGGCAAAAGCCGGGCTCAGTGGATTATGCCTATAATCCTAGTCCCTTGTGAGGCAGAGAATGGGAGGATTACAGTTCAAGGCCAGCCAGGGCAAACAGCAAGACCCCATCACAACCAGTAAAAAGCTGGACCTGGTAGTACATGCCTGTCATCCCAGCTACACAGGAAGCACTAATAGGAGGATCCCAGTCCAGGCCAACTGGGGCATAAAAGCAAGACCCTATTTGAAAAATAATTAAAGCACAAATGGTAAAGCATCTGCCTAACAAGCCTGAGGCTCTAGAAAAGCCCCAGGGTCACACAAAAAAAAAAAAAAGAAGAAGAAGAAAAGAAAAATAACTAAAGCAAAAAGGGCTGGCAGAGTGGCTCAAGTGGTAGAGTACATGCCTAGCAAGTACAAGGCCCTGACTTCAAATCCCAATACCACCAAAAAAAAAGGATAAAAGGAGAAAGGGAACTTTTATAGAGTAAAAGACAAAACAACCAAATGCCATGTTTCTTTAGGTTCTGATTCTAAATTAACCAACGATAGAAAGACATGCTTTGAGACTACTAGGAAAGTGAATATAAATCAGGCATATCACAAATTTCACATTTCACCATGTCAGGTGCAATCATGACACAGCACTTATGTCTAAGGCCTATAAGACTAAAATATTTTGAGTGAACTGACATACCTAGAATTTTCTGTAAAATACTACAGCCAAAAAATAAGGAGGCAGGATGTGAGGAAGCCTAAAAAGTAAGACTAGAAAAATCTCATTTTGTTTATAATTGTTACAGCTAGATGATTAATTCCATAGGGGTTCATTATTGTATTCTCTCCTTTTGGGTATGTTTAAAAATATAAAAATGTATACAAAAGGAGCTACGGTCATCTCTGGTGATTTGTACTAACTAGATTAAACCCAAGGGAAGAAGTCATTTATCCCTCCAAATCAATCTTGGTAGAAATTCTTTGGAAATGATCAGGAAGTGAGGTAAATCCTGTCCCTGATGCCCACCTCCTCCACCCATGGCTCCTTGATCCTCCTAGTAAACCCAAGCCTTCAGCTAAGTTAAGTTACAGGAAACTGCTTCAGATTTACATAGTTTCACTGGCTTCTTAAGAATCACTAGAAGTGTGTTTTAATAATCTAATCCTTAAGTAGTGCAGATGTGGTATAAAATCTTAAGATAAAATTTGCCCTTAATTATCATTGTTTACTAATCAAAATCTCCTCCCACATGGTACAGGGTTTTTTCTCTATTTAAGAGGAAGTAATAGAAACTTCCTTAACCTACAAAACGTTTAAAAGGAACATCAAAAATTATACAATAAACTGACAAATTTTAGAGATGGATTTATTCAAATAGGGCAAAGCTTTTCCAGTAAAAGTGAGCTACAACTGTGAAATAATTTTATGTTATTATAATTGCTCTGTAATTTTGGTCCAATCCAGTATTTTCAAATTGAGTACTGCATGTGCGTGAGGGGTTCCACATACATCCCTACAGGGCACGATGGAAGTGGATAGGGAAGAGATGAAATGAGAGAGGAGAATGCAAGTCCCCACCACCACTGAGATATATAACTTTTCTTCTGAAGAAAAATAAATAAAAGGGGATTGACTTCCTGAAAAGGAGGGCAATTTTCAGTAACTGTTTCAATATTTTCTACAAAAAAAATTTTAAATAGTTTTTTGGGGGTTGTTTCTGTTTTTGTTTTTGAGACAGAGTCATGCTACATAGCCCAGGCTGGCCTCAAACCTCCTTCCTCAACCTACTAAGTGATGAGATAACAGATGTGTACCACCACACTTGGCTTTCAACAGCTTATTTAAATGTCAAAACAGAGTCTATAAGGTTTTCCAAACTGAAATGTTTTACCACCCCCCCAACCTAAAAATATGATTTCCTATTGCAAAGATGGTGAGATACTGAGGAAGAAAGGTTAAAAACCACATCGAAAAACAGATCTTTCTAGTATTCCAGAAAACTTAATCTAGCTCACATCATCAATTTAAAGAGGAAGAAGACACAATCTTTTGTAATGTATAACTGCAAGTATGAACGAACATATATATACAGGACGAGCATCTATTTGGGATGGGTTTCCTACCAGCACCTTTCCTCCTTTCTTCTGCTAACAGGACCGTTCTTTTGAGTCAAGCTCTACTTGTAACTCAAACACAGCTAGCCCCTCCTTGTTTTCCACCTTTCAATGGTTAAACTTGTGATTCTTAGACAATCCAAGGACTCCATTCTACTGGCCACTGGGCTATACAGCAAACAGGGTGAAAAAGAGTCTTCACTACTATTAGATGTATGGGATCTGGGAAAGGGCAAGCTTCTCTTCCTCTGCGATTAGGAGCTGCAAGACCCAAATAAACCTGGAGCTGAGGGTGGTCATATTTCCCGAACTCAGAAACAGCATGACTGAACCACTGAAGAGCAAGGAAGAGCCTGCAGACAGAGAGAGGATTAGAGCCTGAGAACATAACTGAAGCCTCTGGATCAGCTATGCCTGAATCATGCTCCTTCTAGACTTTTCAGTTCTATGAGATTTTATGTTATTTTTTGGTTTTTTTGTTCTGTTTTGTTTTGTTTTTGTTTCTTTGTTTTAGCTACTATGGAAGTTTCTACCACTGCAACAAAAGAAAAAAAGCCCTGATAGAGGCTGGGTATATATACATATAGCTCAAGTACAAGGCCCTGAGTTCAATTCCCAGCACTGAGAAATACACACATAATTCTCAATGTCACACTTACTTTGAGGAAGAAGTCACTTGACCCAGTGGCTAAGAGAAGGTGATTACTGTTGTTGGTGAAATGGCAGCAATTGACTTGTTCTGAGTGCTCTTCATAGGTATGTACTAGTTCCCCAGTCACAGAATTCCAAATCTAAGCAGAACAAAGAAAATAAAGCATTTTCAAAGGGAGAACACAGAGAAAAAGTAAACAAGAATCACTTTGCAGATTCTATCTATCTTCGTAGCAGATTTTCCCATCAGACATTCTCCCTTCTCTAAAATATGGCAATATTCTGCCTCAGTGGCAGTACTGGCAAGTCTATACATGTCGTTTAAGCTATAGCATAATGGAGTTTCATGGAAATACTAGAATTTCTCATGTTCATATGAATGACAGCAGCAAAGAAGTACTATAAAGGGAATAGCACAATGGACTTCAGACCAGAAGGGTTAAGTCAAAAATCCAGTTCTACTATTCATGATTTGTGTGTCTCCCTTCAAGCCCTTAGCTTACCTGCATTTCAGTTCCCTCCTCTGTAAAAGATATTTCCACCTGCACTACACAATTCAACACATCAAATGAGATAATGCCCATGGTAAATATAGATTCTAACGTACTACATTAGTAAGTGAAGGCAAGAGGCTGGGGATGTAGCTCAGTGGTAGAGCACTTGTCTAGCCCTGGGTTCAATCCCCAGTGCTATAAAACAAAAATGTAAACAAATAAATACAGATTGTTCAGTGGAAAAAAAATAAAGGCTTTACTGTGAAAGAAACCCACTTATCAACCCTGTCATTATTACTTAGTGTGAGCTTAAGCAAGTGCTTTCATTTCTGAACCTGTTTCCCTCGGTAAAATGTGATCAATACTTACTTTGCAAGTTGTGGGAAGAAACTGATAACGTAATATAAGGAAGTATGCAGTGCAAAACCTCCAGCAGTAAGAAACAGTATCATTCTGGTTACTATGTAGATAACTAAGGGGTCTGTTCCACACAATAACAAAAGAAAGAAATTGCCGAATGAATCTTCACTAGGACTTGGACTTCTTTACAGGCACTCATGCTCCCTTCCACACAATTCCCTCTGTATTCTATAAAGCACTTATAAGAACCTCCAGAGGTCCAAAGAGTATCTTATTTTGAAGCTCATTAATGAATTTTTCTGCCTCTTATTTCATATTTTGAGTTGAAAAAAAAAAAGTAAAAAACCAAACACTCAGTACTATTTCCTTGTATTCCATGTAGTTCTGATTTTGGAAGTGCCTGCCCGCCGAGTCTGACTCTAAGTGGAGGCTGCAGAGTGAGTAACTGTTGGCTATAAAGAAGCAGGTTTATTCAAAGTCTCAGTTTTAGTCTGGACATGCCACAGTCTTTGTCAAGTGGCTGAAAACTCCAGGAAAACTTTCAAACCAACTACCCTGCCCATACCACCTAGCAGAGTCAGTACGCCACAACTCCTTTGAAAAAACTCCCAAGTGAAGTCATCCTTCCATATATCAGTGATAAAACATCTCCCAAGTCTTCACTTTCTCCTAAATTCCATTTACTATGAATGTTACAGCTAAAAACCAAATTAACAGGCAAGACTCAAGAAAGAATAATTAACAAAAACAAAAATTACCCTCTTTAGATGGGGACCAGCAAAAGAAGGGAGGGGAGACAAGAGGTGGTAATGGGGGAGATGAATATGATCAAAGTACATTATATACATGTAAGAAAATGTCTTAATGACATTATTAATGTACAATTATTTTGTATAATATATGCAAATAAAAAATTACCTTCTTTTTCTTATATGAATATCCTGGTAATATGTTCATCCACCTGGTTTTTTACTGTGTACACCAATTCATGAGGGTTTAAAAAAAAAATGGGGGAGGTAGACACAGGGACGAATTCAGCTCAAGGCCAGCACAGACAAAAAGTTAGTGAGAGCCCATCTCAACAAATAAGCTGGACATGGTGGTATACACTTGTAATCCCAGCTATGCTGGAGGCCCTAGGTAGGAGGATTACACTCCAAGGCCAGCCTGAACAAAAATGGGAGACCATATCTGAAAAATAACTAAAGCAAGAAAGGTCTAGGGCCATGGGTCAGTGGTAGACCTCCTGCCTACAAAGCACAAGGCCCGGAGTTCAGACCCCAGTACTACCAACACAAACAAACAATAAACACGGGTTGCATTTCACACATTACACATTTTAAAGCAGGAACCTGATCTCAGACAATCATTTTGTACAGCAACACTTTTAACCACTATTCATTCCAGAAGGTCAACTGATATTTAACATATAGACTCGTCTAACGATGGCAGGGATACATTTATCTGTACTTATTTTCCTCTCTTTGTAGTTGCTCTTCCCCTCCGCCTGGGAGATAGCTCAGGCTGACTGACCCAAGCATTTTTGCTGGTGCCTAGAAATAAAGCATTTTCTGGCAGTGCTAATCTACAGTGAATTTCAATGGATCAAGTTAGATGAGCAGTGTTAAACCTTAATCTAGTCTCTCTGCTACGGAAAAGAAAACCAACTTTGATGATTTCAACTCAAGAGGAAAATGTTTTCCCACCTTCACTTTTTTATCCACTGAGCAGGTTGCTATAAATCTGTCATCTGCAGAGAATGCACAACAAAGCACTTCATCCTCGTGAGCCTTGATTTCTAGAAGTTTCTCTCCTGTTTCAGCTTTGAACACCTGAAGAAGCAGCAAAAAAGTCTTCTTACTATAAACCACTTAACAATGGTCATCATTCAATAAAAATATTTCTTTGAAAGATCTTAATCATTGTTGTTTTTTAAACAGAAAAGAATCTTAGTAAAATCACTTTAAAAATCAGAATTTATTAGAATTTGTAACCTTAACACAAATGAGAACTACCCATTGTTAAATGTTGGTAAACATCAATAAAAAGAAGTAGCAGAATAAAGCTTCAGTTCTTGAGACTACTTTGGCAAATTCCTAACACTCATAAAGCATTTTATTCAATATGCTTTCTGTCTAGGGCTCAAATGTCAAAATTCATAAAATTAGCAATCCAATACTACAGAAATAAAGTATGTAGTCATAGACTTGGAAAGACTAAAATCATTATAATTACACAAGTTTTGGGTTGGGTTGTGGCTCACATGGCAGAAAGCCTGCCTAGCAACACAAGGCCCTGAGTTCAAACCCTAGTGCTAAAAAAAAAAAAAAAAGTTTAATTTGATCCTGTTTCCTTCAAAATCAACAGGGAGAAGACACTCATTCATATTTTCTGAAAACAAAGAACTTAGAGGAAATTACTTAAAGTACCTTTAGAAATAAGTCCTATTCCTATTTACAGTCAGAAATTATGTTCAAGCCTTTGAGAAGATAGTTATTTCGTTTCATCACATCTTTTAACAATTACCATTTCCATAAATGGAGCTTTTATTCTGCTTTTGTTTTCCCTTATCTTGTTTTCCCCACACTAACTAGAAATGAGGGTTTTTAGTCTAACAGTCTGTTAGTTTATTAGGATAGTTGTCTTTCATTTGCTCTCTGGTACATGGTAATTTAGAGAATACATCTGTATGTTACAACTTGATTACATCTAGTTTTCTAGCTATTGTGCATTTTTTCCTTTACCATGTTTCAGTTTCTGCATGCAGATTTAAATAAGAAAACTTGTAACATTTCACATGGAAATGCTGCCCAATCTTCATCAGCTTCAGAAATCTGACCTTTGCAGACAGCTGCAATAGAGTAATAAAGTGTTATAATTTCTTTCAAATTCTCCATTTCCTCACTATCCTTACTGGCAAATGAATGATAGGTAAGGGACTAGCAAGGTTAGCAGTTTTTCTTTGTCACCTGGCAAGCTTAGAATTACAAAAACACGACTCTTATCATTAAAATCTCTAGAGAAAGCTTCATGTCCAAAACATTTGGGTTTCTCTGCCATTTTTTTCTTAAATTTTAAGATTTAAACACATTCTAATCTGTATAGGATTGGGTACATGCCTTTTTGAATTTTTCTTAAGAGATGTATTTTACCTGTAAGGTTTTATCAGCTCCACAAGAAGCTATTCTCTGACCATTCTCAGAAAAGCACGCATGGTAAACAGCATCTGTATGGGGGCGGACAACCAAGCGGGAGAGGTTCTTGATGGTTTTTTTGTTTCTAAATACAGGGGGAAAATGAACAGAAATCCAGTGAGTTAGAGTGTTTTCTTTCAGCGATAAAATGTCTTTTAAAATGGCTATATCCCCCCAATACAAAATTTTGAATAACATGAAAATGACAGCACAGATCACCTAAAGAAAAAACATAATCCAACAAAAGTGACATTTCAGAAGTGCTACCCTCTATCAAGCAACCTGCCATGTGTTTCAAATGTCATTGAGTTCGAAGAAATAGTCAAATACTTGCTATTTTCTATTTTTCTTTGATATATTAATAATGATAATGTGCAGATAAAACGTTATGTAACCATACTTTAAAAAAACACTCCATCTCTTTTAAATGAAAGAAACTGTTGCAAAATGAAGCCAATTTCCAACTAAAGTATGACACTACACCCACCGCTATGATGATGTGCTTAAAACTGCCTTCCCCTACAATTATTCAGAACAGAGGAAAAAGGGGATAAAACAATGTCATTTTCTTTGTATCTTAATCCAAAACAATACCAACTATTCCACTAGTGTGGCTATATTATATTATTGTGCATAGGCTGAAAGGTAAAGGAATGTATGTATACTTAAAACAGGAGCAAATATTAAAGAACTGACAAATTGTCTACATTCACTCTCATCACTTTGAGTACAAGTAAATACATGAGAAAAGTATTATGCTGATTTTAAAAGTCAAAGTTTAGGAGTCAGACAAACCTAAAGGGCAAGCTTACTTCTACTGCTAACAGCTGTGTAAACCTAGGCAAATTAATTAACCTAGTGAGTTTCTATTTCCCTGGATGTAAAAATGGAAGTAATAATATCCACTATAAACTGCATGTGACACATGAAGATGCCACTGCTACCATTCTTCAAAAAAATTAGCAAGACAGACCACATGATAAAACAGAACACACAGTTATATCAGACTAAGATCATGCCTACAAAGTATCACACTTTACTAGAGTGATAAGAACACAGAAGAGCAGAAACGTTACGAGGAAGATTAAGAATGCACTCTCTCCAGCCAGGTGTGAAAGCACACTGCTGTAATCCCAGCTGCTCAGCAGGCTAAGGTAGGAAGGCCACACATTCAAGCCCAGTCTGGGCAACGTAACAAGACCTCATATCCCCCCCATAAATATATACACATGTATGTATGTATATTCATATGTATGCACATACATATATTCTTTGGCCTTGAGCTATCTACTCAGTTCTCTAAAGCTCAGAAAGTGATCTTCACAATAATGGTATATAGTAGAGAACCAAAATGTTTTAGAAAAATAATAAATCAATGAGTAAACAAAAGACTTCTTTGCTTATAAAATTTATAACACAGTTAAATTTAAGTTTATGCAATGTAAACTTTCTGCAATTAAGAAACTACTAGGTTTTAGAATAGACTCAAACCCGGGCCTGTGGCTCCAAGGCCCATCCTCTCCCTCGCCATACTAGATTACAGGAAGTCACGCTTTCGACATTAATATTTAGGAGGACTTTTCAAGATGCATTTGGTGTCTATTTCTAGGGATTGTGCAAATATAATTATTTTTTCCTATGCTTACTCTCTGGAACTTTTCACAAAGCAAGATTGCTTGTTAAAAGTTCTAGCCCTTTCCAGAGTAGTTAAATCTTCCTGGAGAGATCTCATTTGCTACCTGGAAAATAATGACATAGTTATCAATCCACTCCCTTTGGTTTCTTGCCTAACCTACTTACGTCCACTCCAGGTAAAGCTTCCCATTGTCAACCTCCTGCTTGGCCTGCAGCTTTGCTTGCTGATAAACTTCTGAAGTTTCCGGTTCACAGAGACCCAGTTGTACAATATTAGGAAATGGTTGTCGTCCAAGAAGGTGTCCATTTAAAGATAAAAACTCCTGAAAATTCTCACAGACTGCACAGTCCTATGAATAAACTGAAATCTGTTAGAAACATAACCGAAGCCAAGACCTGACATTTTTCTGTTTCTGTGATCTTGTCAACTGAAAGACTTAAGTGAAACAATCCATGAACTAAAATTTGATAGCCATCCATTAGGTAACAAATATATAGCGATCCTCTTCTCACTTTTAAACATAGGGTACAAATCTCATCAAATACATTTCTTAACTCTCAAAAAAAAGGAGGAAGGAAAAAAAAATCTAAAAATCTTACTTTCCTAACTTTCAAACTTCAGTCCTACATACATTGCCAGTAGGCCAGGAAGCAAATTAATTAGAATGATCAAAGGTCACAGCAGGGACATTATCTCTATTCAACAATATTCTGCTCATTCCTACTATTAAATGTAGAATTAAATGTCAAAACGAAATGTCTTTTAAGCACTAACTTTTCATACTAATATATACCTTTTCATCCAATATATGGCTGTATTCCACAAATTCATGAATCAGATGAGCAGGACCTACAAGTTCTGTTTTTGCTTTAATCCAATCCAGGGAAAACATTAGAGCACAAAGTTCCTATAAAAAAAAAAAAAAAAAAAAGTAAGATCACCAGGACTGTTAAAAAGACCAAAGATTTTTTTTTCAAGTATAATATCATTATCCCAATACTAATGAGAGAAACTTAGCAGACATCTAGAACTCAGGACAAAACGGAAGTTGGTTTAAAAAAACAAAAGGAATACATCAATACTTCCAAAGAAATATAAAGTGAACCTCACATCTTAAAATAAATTTCAGTTGGATTAAGGATTTAAACATGAAACAGAAAACTTTAATACCGTAAGATACAGGTAAATATATTTGTAACCCTGGAGTGAAAGAGATCTTTGGAATCGTGACATCAAAGCAAAATTAAGAAAAAAAAATAAAAAGTACATTTCACTGCATAAAAACTCAAATCTTCAATATCACAGAAATATAAATAAAACATAAGACAAAAAAAGGTCAGGAAAAAATGTTTCTGCAATATTCATGCCAAAAGAGGCCTTAATATTATTCTTTATAGAAAATTATAAAGAAACAACAAAAAAAGAAAAAGATAGGTACTGAGGCAGGCTAGAAGCAGGGAAAGTTTGGTACTCACGTAGACTGCCCAGACCATCCACACCTAGTCATGCCCCTCCCCACTCACTGATTGTTGGTTGGGAATCTCCTTGCTTTCCCCTTCCCAAAGATTATCATAGGTTTTTTTCTTTTCTTTTTTCTTTTTTTCTTGTGGTACTAAGGCTTGAACTCAGGGCCTACACCTTGAGCCATTCCACCAGCCCTTTTTTTGTGATGGGTTTTTCAAGATAGAGTCTCACAAACTATTTGCCCACACTGGTTTCGAACCCTCGATCCATCTGATTTCTGCCTCCCGAGTAGCTAGACCATAGGCATGAGCCACTGAGCCTGGCATTGTAGGTTTTAAAAGCGCCTGAAGAGCAAAAACATGCTCTCTCAGCTTCCAGCTTCCACCTTGACCTCACCAAGCTTCCCTTTGTTTTTTCAGTCCTGGGGTTTGAACTCAGGGCCTTCACCTTAAACAACCCCTCCAGTCCTTTTTTGTGAAGGTTTTTTTATGAGATAGCCTCACAAACTATTTGCTGGGGGTTGGCTTGGAACCCTGTTCCTCCTGATCTCTGCCTCTTGAATAGCTAGGATTATAGGCGTGAGCCACCAGCACCCAGCTCTCATTCTTTACCTATTTTTTTTTTTTCTGTTTGAGGTACTGTTAATGGCACTGGTTCAGTCTGTGATCAGAAGACTTCCAAATTCTTTGTCCCGCTGGGAAGAATCCATGGCAGGACACATGAGTATAAATGGAGTTTTTTTCAATAGTTCATGAGATGCTACCTTGAAAATAATCAACACAGGCTGGCAGAGTGGCTCAAGTGGTAAAAGCACTTGCCTAGCAAGTATGAGGCCCTGAGTTCAAACTCCAGCACTGCCAAAGAAAAACAAAACAACACAAAAAAAAGGGCTGGTGAAATGGCTCAAGACGCAGAATACCTACCTGTCTAACAAGCATAAAGTCAGGAGTTCAAACCCCAGTGACACACACAAAAAAAACAAGTGCCAGAGAGCAGAGGGCGTGGTTCAAGCAGTAGAGCATCTACCTAACAAGCACAAGGCCCTGAGTTCAAACCCCAGTACCGCCAAAAAAAATAAAAAGAATGAGATCTGTCAGGCATGGTGGTGCACACCTATAATCCTAGCACTCAGGAAGCTGAGGCAGAGGGATTGCAAATCTGAGGCCATTTTGAGTTACATAGCAAGATCCTGTCTCAAAAAAAAACTCAATTCACAAAAATAAACTGTACATACAGGAAAAATTTCACCAGTACTCAAATAAAACAACAAAGATTTACCATTTATTAGTTTTTGGTTTGAAACTGGCCTTGAACTTGTAGCGATTCTCCTGCATCTGCTTTCCAAGTCCTGGAGTTGCAGATATTATATTTTTAAAGATTAAAGGAATGATAAGACCGTTAACTGGAATCAGAGGAAATAAACACTCCCTCCACTGTTGGTAGTGACATAAAAGAGAATACCAGTCTAGTGGGCAGTTTGGCAATCTGGATTCAAATTTAAACTATACACACCATTTGATTCAGAAATTCCACTTACAAAAGTATATCCAATCTACCGTCAAATTTATATGGAAACACAAGAGGCCACGAATAGCCAAGGCAATACTCAGTCAAAAGAACAATGCAGGAGGTATCACAATACCTGACTTCAAACTATATTACAAAGCAATAACAATAAAAACAGCATGGTACTGGCACAAAAACAGACATGAAGACCAGTGGAACAGAATAGAGGATCCAGATATGAAGCCACACAACTATGAGCAACTTATCTTTGATAAAGGAGCTAAAAATATACGATGGAGAAATAGCAGCCTCTTCAACAGAAACTGCTGGGAAAACTGGTTAGCAGTCTGCAAAAAACTGAAACTAGATCCATGTATATCACCCTATACCAAGATTAACTCAAAATGGATCAAGGATCTTAATATCAGACCCCAAACTCTTAAGTTGATACAAGAAAGAGTAGGAAATACTCTGGAGTTAGTAGGTATAGGTAAGAACTTTCTCAATGAAACCCCAGCAGCACAGCAACTAAGAGATAGCATAGATAAATGGGACCTCATAAAACTAAAAAGCTTCTGTTCATCAAAAGAAATGGTCTCTAAACTGAAGAGAACACCCACAGAGTGGGAGAAAATATTTGCCAATTATACATCAGACAAAGGACTGATAACCAGAATATACAGGGAACTTAAAAAACTAAATTCTCCCAAAACTAATGAACCAATAAAGAAATGGGCAAGTGAACTAAACAGAACTTTCTCAAAAGAAGAAATTCAAATGGCCAGAAAACACATGAAAAAATGCTCACCATCTCTAGCAATAAAGGAAATGCAAATTAAAACCACACTAAGATTCCACCTCACCCCTGTTAGAATAGCCATCATCAGCAACACCACCAACAACAGGTGTTGGCGAGGATGCGGGGAAAAAGGAACCCTCTTACACTGTTGGTGGGAATGTACTAGTACAACCACTCTGGAAAAAAAATTTGGAGGCTACTTAAAAAGCTGGACATCGATCTACCATTTGATCCAGCAATACCACTCTTGGGGATATACCCAAAAGACTGTTACTCCAGAGGCACCTGCACATCCATGTTTATTGCGGCACTATTCACAATAGCCAAGTTATGGAAACAGCCAAGATGCCCCAGCACTGACGAATGGATTAAGAAAATGTGGTATCTATACACAATGGAATTTTATGCAGCCATGAAGAAGAACGAAATGTTATCATTCGCTGGTAAATGGATGGAATTGGAGAACATCATTCTGAGTGAGGTTAGCCTGGCTCAAAAGACCAAAAATCGTATGTTCTCCCTCATATGTGGACATTAGATCAAGGGCAAACACACACAAGGGATTGGACTATGAGCACATGATAAAAGCGAGAGCACTCAAGGGAGGGGTGAAGATAGGTAAGACACCTAAAAAACTAGCTAGCATTTGTTGCCCTTAATGCAGAGAAACTAAAGCAGATACCTTAAAGCAACTGAGGCCAATAGGAAAAGGGGACCAGGAACTAGAGAAAAGGTTAGATCAAAAAGAATTAACCTAGAAGGTAACACCCACGCACAGGAAATCAATGTGAGTCAATGCCCTGTATAGCTATCCTTATCTCAACCAGCAAAACCCCTTGTTCCTTCCTATTATTGCTTATACTCTCTCTACAACAAAATTAGAGATAAGGGCAAAATAGTTTCTGCTGGGTATTGAGGGGGGGAGCGGGAGGGGGTGGAGTGGGTGGTAAGGGAGGGGGTGGGGGCAGGGGGGAGAAATGAACCAAGCCTTGTATGCACATATGAATAATAAAAGAAAAATGAAAAAAAAAAAAAGTATATCCTAAGAGAACAAATAACCACATGAGTATAATTAAATGATCTTCCCATCAATCTACTGGCCAATAACAGTATAGCTCTACAATGCAAAAGTATGCAGCTTTAAAAAAATCACATCACTCAAGGCTAGAGGTGTGGCTCAAGCAGTAGACCGTCTGTCTAGCAAGCATAAGGCCCTGAATTCAAGCCCCAGTAGCACCCAAAAAACAAGCAATTATGTCACTCTATATAAATAACATGAAAAGACAACTGTAAAATGCAACTAAGTGTGAAAAGCAATATACAAGACACTAACTCTATTGTGATTCAACTTTGGTTTTAAAGAACAAATGTGTTTAAGTAGAAAAATGATTTACAAAACTATACAAGAAATCATTAGCAATCACTGTTATCTTCTTTTTCTTCTTTGTGGATGCTTTTATAAGTTTTTCCAATAAAATAAATTACTACTTTTAAAATCATAAAAAGCTAAGAAAAAGAAACTGAATCCTGCCACACTATCATACGTATCAAAAGCTTTTAAAAAATGCATTGACCCAGTGATTCCAATTCTAGAAATTTTCCAACAGTGATTCCAATTCTAGAAATTTTCCAACAAAACAATACAGATACAATGACAAACAAGAAAATGTCGTAAGGCAAAAAACTGAGAACAACCTAAATGTTCAATGAAAGTTTGGTTCAGTAAATTAGGGCACAGACATTTATTTAAATACCATCATTCTGATGTAGATTATTAAACGTAAATATATTTTGGTAGGTGAAAAAAACAGACTACAATAATACATCATTTTTATGCATACCTGAGCATAGAAAAATTACTGAAAACTCATATGGTGTTCCAAAATACGCTAACACTTGGAGAACTTGGTAATCATGACTTCAAATGCCAACTATGTATTTTTTAATTTTTAATTATTCATTTATTCACATGTGCATACATTATTTGGGTCATTTCTCCCTCCTGCCCCTCTCCCCCAACTATGTATTGAGTTCCAATTTTATCTTTTGTCCATAATTCTCTTCAGAATTCCACATATGTATATGTAATTGCTATTTAGTATCTCTAATCAAATGTCTAAATAGGTATATCAATCTTAACATTAAAAACAAGTTCCTGGGTGAATTTAACTAAGATATATTGTAAGCACTTTTGTAAATGTCATAATGTACCCCCAGTACAACAATAATAAAAATAAATAAATTAAAAAAGAAAACCAAGTAATCAGCAGTAACATGTTGGTGCTGAAGTATGTTAAATACACAAAATATGATGCGGGGGGATCTTGTTCTCCCTCAGACTTGCCTGTTTCACTTCATGGCAACTCCATTCTTTTTACTGTACAAGCTTGCAATTATCTTTGACTTTTCACTTTCTCACAATGTACATCAAATCCATCAACAAATCACAATTCCATCCTATACCATCAGTTTCTTTTCTCCTTCTATGCTTTGCCATTCTTCTGAGCACTTTACAACCTACTACCATACTATAAGTTTGTTTCTTGCCTATCTTCCTCAAGGACATAAACTCAATGAGAGCAGACACTGTATATACGTTATGTCCTAATATTAAAAAAACAAGAACATTCCATAACAAGCACTTAATAAATATGCAAAGAATGAATGAACATACTTTCTCACCCTCCATTTCCTCTTCAAGCTTATAAAAAAATCTATACTGCCCGTACAGGAAAGCTACTGTTAAGAAAAGAATTAATTTCTAGGTTCCAGGTTTACTTGCTGCAGTTACTAAGATACCTTTTTTAAATCACTGCAGATAAAAAGCAGTTTAAAAAAAAAAAGAGGAAAAGAAAAACTTCCATAAGCTATACTAATAAATTTCTAATAATAGGACAAAATATATTTATAAACATGACACCAAAGAAAAATACAAAAAAGGTAGTCCATTTAACGATGTAAAGTTTCAAATCTTTAATACAGCAGGAAGCAATATAAATAAAATGGCAAGTGAGACAAAAGAATTTTCAAATCTTACTTACTTTGTGCATATTGGCACTGGCCATGTGATAGGCCAGAAAACTGTACCAATACATGCCGTCCTCCTGATCTGGAGACAGAGCGTGTGGCTGGTAATACCTCTGAAACTGAGTGACCATCTTCTTATGTAGATCCTGAAACCCAAATCAAATGCTTCAGAGCACAGGAACAACTTTATAAGCTAAGCAGCACAGTACCTCCAGCTTCCAAAGCTACTGAGAAAATACAAGGAATTTCCCCATAAGAAATTTACTAGTTATCAAATAATCAACATAATAATAATAATAATAATCCACAAGACACATCACCCCAAGTACTCCCTGATATACTGTACTGAGGACATGACATCATTTCTATGCTATCATATTCTTGCCAAAATATGTACTGCTTCAGTCTAGGTAGGAGAAAACATCACACAAAACCAAATTTGGGGACACTGTACAAGATACCTGGTCAGTACTCTTATTTTTTTCCCACAGTACTGGAGGTTGAACTCAGAGCCTCAGCAGGTGTACTACCATTTGAGCCACTCTACCAGGCCTTTTGTTCTGGTTATTTAACAGACAGGATCTCACTTTATGTCCAGACTACAATCCTATTTGTGCTTCCCCACATAGCTGGGATGACAGGCATGCCTCACCATATTCAGCCATTGGTTGAAATGGGGTCTCACAAATGTTTTGCCGGGGCTGGCCTTGAACTGTGATCCTCCCAATCTTCTCCACCTCCTGCACAGCTAGGATTTACAACATCACCACGCCCAGCTTGGCTAGTACTCTTCAAAAGTGACAAAGCCACTATGATGTAAGCTAATGGTAGAGCACAGGCCTAGCATACATGAGGCATTGGGCTCAATACCCAGTACTGGGGAAAAAAAAGGTGACAAGGCCGTGAAAGACAGTAACAAAGGAATTTTCACAGATTTGAAGAGACTAAGGGAAATGGTAACTAGGGAAACAAGACAATCAGACACAACATGAAGTCCTGAGTTCGATTTGGATCATAAGACATTAGTAGTTGAAGCAGCAAAATTCAAATGAAGTCTGTGGATTTGTTAATGATAGTACACTGACAATTTCCTAGCTTTGAAAACTGTGTTATATAATATGTTAACATTAGAAAAGCTAGGCAAAGGTTTATGCATAGAAACTCTGTACTGTTTTGTAACTTTTTTGCAAGTCTAAAATTATTTTAAGGGCTTGGATAATAGCTCAAGTGGTACAGCACTTGCCTAGCAAACACAAGGCCCTGAGTTCAAACCCCAGTACCACCAAAAAAAATAAAAATAAAAAAAAAGTTTTCCAAAATAAAGTTTAAAAAAAAATAGAGATCCAAGTGTACCTGAAGCTGACTGCGATTCTTCTCTGTAAGAAAATCTACTTGAAGATCATGTAAATAATAACAAAATGACTTTCCATTCCGATCACAGAACAAGAGAGATTTATTAACAAACTCCTGCAGTATGTCTTCAACGTCTTCAGTTTCCATGTCCCAGAGAACACATAACACCTAGGAATCATTTTAAACATTTAACATGATGCAGAAGTACAACGAATAGGACTGTGGATAAAGTAATAACACAAACACCAGAAAAAAAATGATCTTAAAGCCCTAAATAAGAATGTTTCCTTTTCATAAAATGCCCAACTATTCCTCAAGGTAGGAAAAATGAAAGAGAAACTGGATACTTTCTCAGCTCCTCTAGAACCACTGAGAATTAGGTAACTCATGAGCTCAACAGAGCTCTTTATGGACACTAAGAGTGGAGGGGCTTCTGTACCGTCCATCCCCCACCTCAGTCCCCTGATTCTGATCTGCAACAATGTCCTCAGAACTATATCAACGGTCAGGTGTCATAAATTCCCAACATCAAGAACAGCTGGCCCATCTGTTACCTTTGTAGGCACCTTAACATCCTTCTGAAGGATGGAAAGATCTGTGTAATAGTCTTTGATGTTTTCTCTGAGCATTTCAACACTTATAGACATGGCTTCATCCAGAGCTTCATAATCATAAGATGAAGATTTCCTTATTCTCTTAAACTGCTTATTCTGAAGTTGCCTCAGGTAGTACTCCCAGCGGTTGGGAAAATCACGTAAAAGTGCACCAATTAAAGACACTACGAGAGGAGAACCTAAAAAAAAAAAAAGTAACTGCTGGAATAACATCTTACTTTTAAAATAACCACTAAGCTAAAAAACAACTTAATTTTAATTAAGAAACAATTTTCATGCATATTACCCAAACCATTAAAATATTCTTAACTCTGGATTTACTTCTTTAGAACAAATACCTAGAAGAAATCATTAGAAAAAAGAAAGATTTCACTTAAGTATATTTATCACAGCATTATTTATGACAGTGAAAATTCTTAAAACAATGTTCAATGATAGAAAACTAGCTGAATACGTTAAGGTTTACCACAATATTATGCCACTGGTAAACTACACATTTAGCAACATGGGAAAATGCTCAAAACATACACAATGATTCAAAACTATATAAACTATTATGACCTCAACTCCAATTTAACTATAAACATTGTGAATATTACAAATGAAATGAAAAGGTACAAAAAACATAATATATATACATTTTTGGCTAATAGCTTCAATAGTTTTAAGTATTTAAAAATATATTTCAAAATATTTTTATCACAAAAGAAAAGTGACTCAAGGATAATTTCTTAAAATACAAATATCCAACCAGGATAAAATGTACTGAAGCCGGGTAACAGTGGCTCACGCTTATAATCCTAGCTACTCAGGAGGCAGAGATCAGGAGGACCACAGTTTGAAGCCAGTCAAGGAAAACAGTTCATGAGACCTTATCTGGAAAATATCCATCACAAAAAAGGGCTGGTAGAGTGACTTAAGGTGTAGGCCCTGGGTTCAAACCACAGCACTACCAAAAAAAATCTCCACAAATATCCAATAACCAAATGTGTCTAATTTATCAACCATGATATATGTATTTTGGGTTCTGTCCAAGGTTCCTGGTTCTTTAACTACCTCCCCAAGACAGGCCATAGAAACTAGAATTTCTCTTCCCTTAGGAGGCCATTAGAAACTCTAATCCCCCATCTTTCTGTCTTGGAGCTGGCCATAAAGAAATTCTCTGCTGACTTACTTTGTCTGACAGTACCATAAAAACCCATTTCAGAAGGGGTCCTACCCCTTCCTACAAGGAAGGTATGCTGCACACAGAAGCCAAGAATATGGGCGGACTTTTAGGTTTCTACACTCAGTTTTTATTAGCATTAGATCATACTCTTCTTGTTCAATCACTTTTTTTATGTTTTTGTCTATGCTTCAATCGTGTCTATGCAATGATGTTTCCATTAAAAACCCAAAAAGACAGGGTTTGGAAAGATTCCAGAAAGTAGAACACCTGGAAGTTCCTGAAGGATGACACACTGGAGAGGATGTGGAAACTCTACAGCCCTTCTCCCCAAAACCTGCCCTTCATCTGTATTCTTTATACTATCTTTTATAATAACCCAGTAAATGTGTTTCCCTGATTTCTATGAACTGCACAAGCAAATTAATTGAAACTGAGGAGGGATTTGTGGGAAACTTAATTTACAGCTGGTGGGTCAGAAGCACAGGTAAAACCACCTGGGGAAAGCAATGCGAGTCAACTCCCTGTATAGCTATCCTTATCTCAACTAGCAAAAACCCTTGGTCCTTCCTATTAGTGCTTATACTCTCTCAACAAAATTAGAGATAAGGGCAAAATAGTTTCTGCCTGGTAGTGAGGGGGTGGGGAGGAGAGGGAGGGAGCAGAGTGGATGGTAGGTGAGGGGGTGGGGGTAGGGAGGAGAAATGACCCAAACATTGTATGCACATATGAATAAAAGAAATTAAAAAAAAAAAAAAAAAACACCTGGGGCTTGCAACTGGCATCTGAAGTGGGGTTGAAGGACTGAGCCCTCACACTATAGGAGTGATACTCTCTCCAGGTAGGAAGGGTGAGAACCGAATTAAATTAGGGGACACCCAACTTATGAAGACTGCAGAATCTATTATTTGCTTGGTGTGTGACACATCTGGTGTCAGAAGTAATCTGTGTTGTCAGAGTATAGTAAGAGAAACTAAGTCTGACTTTTGGGTTTTCCTCTCTATCCTCAGAATAAGTAAAGCGTTTTACTTCACTAATAAAAAATGCAAATTAGGATGACAACAACAGCTTTACTTATCAAATAAGAACATTATTTTTATAAAATCCCAACCAAAATTTTTAAATCTTGCAGATTCTTTGACAGCAAAGGTATACCTTCATTTATCCTTTTTACAAATAAACTCTAACATATTGTAGATGCACATTAAATAGTGTTTTAATAAATGACTGAATGCCATAACATCATGTATTCATTTAGCAGAGAAGAACCTAAAATACTAAATAGAAATCAATCAGAAAGTGGTATGAACCACTAACTAGGAAAGGTTTTGGATGTTCATGTGCTAAATTACCGTAAGAGGGAACCAATTTACAAAGAGGAAACAAATAACTACACCTTTGCATTCTTTTATAATACTATGAGCTTGTTCTGGCAAATCTGCTTTCTTCATATTAACAAACAGGGATAAAATTTCAAGTCCTTTTTCTTTTCCTAGGCCACTCTCCACAGGGACTTCATATTTAGGACCTGCAACAAAATAGCAAGACATAGCTATTTGTTAAGTCACATACTTAGATGTAACTGAATTAAATAATTAATACCTTTAATTTAATGCCTTTCTTAGGAAAAGTATTAAAAATAAAGTAATAATCCTTACCCATTACTGAATCTGTAACACTCTTGTCTCTGGTTGTTAGAAGAATCTGACACTGATTATCAAAAGCTTTTAATACCCAAGGATCCCAAACATCATCCAAGATCAACAGAGACCTAAATTTAAAAAATAATAATAATAATTAAATCACTAGCAACACTTACTTTAAGCCTCCTTTTTTAAAAAAAATCCCAAGACAAGAGGTAATGCAGCAGACTAGACATTCCCCCCATGAGACTCTGCAGGAGAAGAATCAGGATAGCAAAGAAGAGACTATATCCCAAGAAGAAAAAGAGAATCAGGAATCAAAAAAGAGGTGACAGGATAGTAAAAAGGCATGGAGAAACAGAAAGGCAACACAGACAAAGTTTTCTCTATTCTGCTTCATTGGTCTTTGCACATGTTTTTATGCCAGTACTATGCTGTTTTTGCTACAATAGCCTTATAGTTTGGGATTTTTTTGTTTTTGATTTTTGCAGTACTGGGGTTTGAACTCAGGGCCAACACCTTGAGCCCTTTTTTGTGGTCAGTTTTTTTCAAGATAAGGTCTTGCAAACTATTTGCCCAGGCTGGCTTCAAACCGCAATCCTCCTGATCTCTGCCTCCTGAATAGCTAGGATTATAGGCGTGAGCCACCGTCACCCAGTTATTGTACATTTTATTATACTGTATTGTACAGATGTTGCAATGCCTCCAGCTTTGCTCTTTGTGCTCTGGATTACTTTAGCTATTTCAGGTATTTTGTGATTTCATACAAATTTCAGTAGTGATTTTTATTTTTCTCTGAACATACCATTGGGACTTTGATAGGAATTGCATTGAATCTAGAGAGTGCTTTAAATAGTACAGACATTATAACAATATTAATTGTTCTAATCTATGAACATAGGATGTTTTTCCATTTTTTGTGTTTATCTACTTGGATTCCTTTCATTAGTGTTTTGTAATTTTCATTGTGGAGATCATTCACTACCTTAGTTGTATTTATTACTAGATTTTTTTTATAGCTATTATGAATGGAGTCCCTTTCTTGATTTCTTTCTCAGCAATTTCATTATTGGTGTACTAAACCCTAATGATTTTTATATATTGAGGTTGTATCCTGAAATCTAACTGAATTCATTATCAGTTGTAAGAGGTTTTTGGTGGAGTCTTTAGAATTTTCTATATACATATCAGATTGTCTATAAACACGAATAATGTGACTTCTTCCTTTCTTATTTGCCCCATATTTCTTTCTCCTGTCTTATTGCTCTAAAACTTCCAATACTATGTGAAATAAGAGTGGTGAGGCCAGGTGCAGTGGCTCATGCCTCTAATTACACCTACCTGGAAGACAAGAGATCTAGAGGATCATAGTTCAAGGCCAGCCCCGGCAAAAAAGTTAGCAAGAGCCTCATCTCAACAAGTAAGCCATAGGCAGGATTGTGGTCTGAGGCCAGCGCTAGACAAAACACAAACCCCTACCTGAAAAATAACTAAACCAGAAAAGGGCTGGGAATGTGGCTCAAGTATTAGAGCACCTACTCTGCAAGCGTGAGGCACTGAGTTCAATCCCCAGTACCACCCCCCAACAACAACAACAAAAAAAAGTAAACTAGCCATTCTAGTCTTGTTCTTAAAGGAAACAATTTAAGCTCTTCCACATGCAATATTATGTCAAGTGTGAGGTATGACCCTTTTATATTTTTAATGAAAGGATGATGAGTTTTAGCTAAGCCTTTTAAAGCACATATGAGATGACCCTAAAGCTTTTTGCCATTCATTCTGTTGATGTAATGTATTACATTTATTAATCTGTGTGTGTTAAATGATCCTTGCATTCCTAGGATACATCCGCATCTTTCTGCTATGCTAATATTTTTGAAATTTTCTGCATCTATGTTCACCAGGGATATCAATCTGTAGCTTTTTTTTGTTTTTTTTGTGTCCCTGTCCATTTTTAGTAACAGGGTGATGCTGGCCTCATAAAAGTTTGGAAGGGCTCCCTGCCTTTGAATTCATTAGAATAGTTTTAGAATAATCGGTGTTAGTTCTGCGTTAAAAGTTAGGAAACATTCAGTATTGAAATAATCTGGCCCTAGGTTTTTGTTGTTGAGTCTTTTTACTGCACATTTAATCCTTTTTACTTATTATTGATCTGATCAGGTTTTCTATGTCCTCATGGTTCAATTTTGGTGGGTTATATGTGTCCAGAAATTTCTCTGTTTCTCCTAGGTTTCTAATCTGTTAGCATATACTTGTTTAGAATTGTCCCTGATAATCCTTTGTATTACAATGATATCAGCTGTAATGTCTCCTCTTTCATCCTTCATTTTATTTATTTGGGTCTTCTCATTTTCTTAATTAATTTAGGTAAATACTTGTCAATTTTGGTTTATCTTTTCAAAAACCATCTCTTTACCCAGCCTGAGGTGCACACCTGTAATCCCAGCACTTGGGTGGCAGAAGGACAAGGCGGACTACATAGCAATAACCTATCTCAGGAAAGGAAAAAAAAAAAAAAAACAGCTGTTTTGTTAATCTCTGTAACTTTTAAAGTCTCTATTTCATTTATTCCTGCAGTGATCTTTGTCATTTCTTTATTTCTACTAATTTTTGGGTTCGGTTTGTGCTTGTTTTTCTAGTTCTTGAGTTGCATCATTAAGCTGTTTATCTGAAATCTATTTTTTATGTAAATGCTTATTGCTATACATTTCCCCTCTTCGTATTGCATCTGCTGTGTATACCACAGGTTTTTATGTTTCTATTTTTGTTTCAAGAAATTTTTCAGCCAGGCATGATGGCACTTGCCTATAATCCCATAACTTGGGAGGCAGAGGCATGAGGATTGTGGGTTAGAGGTCAATCTAAATAACATGAGATACTGTCTCAAAAAAAAAAAAAAAAAAAGTTCTTAAATTTTCCTTTTGACTTCTTCATTGACCCAGTGGTCATTTGAGAACATCTTGGTTAATTTCCATGTATTTGTATAATTTCTAAAATTCCTATTGTTTATTGCTAGCTTTATTTCACTGTGGTCAAAGAATACATGTTCCCAGGCATGGAAGCACACAGAATGCTGAGGCAGGAGGATCACAAGTTCAAAGCCAGCCTGGACTATGTAGCAAGACCTTATCGCATAAGAAATGAAAAGAAGATATATGTTATGATTTCATTTTTTAAAAATGTTTTTGAAATTTGTTTTGTGATCTAAAATGGTTTATCTTGAAGAATGCTCAATGTGCCAATGAGAATATTGATTTTGCAGTTGCTAAATAAAATGTTCTGTAATGTCTATTAGGTCCATGTGGTCTACAGTATAGTTTATGTGTTGGTTGGATTTTTTTTGGTCTGGATAATCTGTTCTAATGAAAGTGAGGTGGTGAAGTCCCCAGTCATTATTATTTTAAAATCTATCTCTCCTTTTAGATCTGTTTGTTTTATGTAAGTGGGTACTCCAGTGTCAGGTATATATATACTTAAAATTGCTACTGCTTCTTGAGTTGATCCCTTCTCATTATAAAGTGACTTTCTTCGTATCTTTCTACATCTTTTTGACATAAAGTTCATTTTATCTGATGTAAGTATAAGTACTACTGCTCACTTTTGTTTTCTCTTTGCATGGTACATCTTTTTCCATCCCTTCTCTTTCAATATGTCCTTTCTTATTCGCTTAAAAAAAAAAAAAACCCTATTCAACCAGTGTAGATCTTTTAATTAATCTGCTCACATTCAAAATTATTATTGAAAAAAAAAGATATACTTCTGTCATTTCATTAATTTTTTTTCCAGTTGCTTTGTATATCCTTTGTTACTTTCTTCTTCTATTATTACTTACTGTTTTGGTTTGGTGGTTTTCTGTTTTGATCCTCTTCTCTTTCTCTTTTGTGTTTCATTAGTGAGTTTTGTACTTTCACATGTTTTCATGATGCCAGTATTCATCCTTCAGCTTCTAGTGTAGGACTCCCTTAAGTGTGTCTTATGGGCCTGTTTGGTGGTGATGAATTCTCTCAGCTTGTCTGGACGTTATTTGCCCTCATATCTAGAGAACAGCTTTTCTGGGTAAAGTATTCTCAGTTGGAAGGGTCATGTCATTCTTCCTCCCCTCCCTGCCAAGACTTTGAATATATCATCCTGTTCTCTCCTGGCCTGTAAGATTTCTGCTAAGACATCTCTTGCTAGTTTACTGGAGGTGTGGCTCAAGCAGTAGAGCTCCTACTTTGCTCTAGTCCACCAAAAAAAACCCAAAAGTTTGCTCACTTAATGCTGTACTATAAGTCTCATAAGCTTCTTATTTGGTCTGACTGAGGTTTCGTGGGTCATTTTTCTGTTTTGTTTTTTTGAGAGAAGGTCTTGCTATATAGGGTGAATATGGTGCAAATACTGTGTACAAATGAATGTAAATGGAAAAAACTACCTGTTGAAACTATTTCTTGAATGGAGGGGGGAGTAAGGGAGAATGTTGGAGGGGGTGAATTCAAGTATGATATACTTGATATATAGTAAGAACCTTTGTAAATGCCACAGCGTACCGCTACCCAGCCTAAAAAAAAAATAAAATAAATTGCTGAGCTAGAGAAGATATGTAAATATGGTAAAAAAAAAAAATAAAAACCTTACAGCCAGGCATAATGCTTATAAGTCCAGCTACTCAGGAAGCAGAGATCAGGAGAACCACAATTCAAGGCCAACACCAGCAAAAAGTCAGTGAGATCTCCATCTCAACAAATAAGCCAGGTGTGGTGGTATACATCTGTGGTCCCAGCTATGTGAGAGGCCATAGGTAGAAGGACTGGGGTCCAGGCTGGCCCCAACAACCATGGGAGACCCTATCTAAAAAATAACCTAAAGTAAAAAGGGATAGAAGTATGGCTCAAATAGCAGAGTGTTTGCCCAGCAAGCACAGAACCCTGAGTTCAAACCTTAGTACCACCAAAGCCAATAAAAAAACCCTTCCAGCTGAGGATGTAGTTCAGTAGTACAGCACTTGCCTAGCATGAGGCCCTGAGTTCAACTGCTGGTGACTCAAGGAATAAAATACTATTCTCTTAGAGACACTGAAGTACATCAATTTATTACAGGGCTGGGGACATAGCTCAGTGATACAGCACTTGCTCAGCACGTGGTAGGCCATAGGTTCAACCCACAGCACTACTAAAAACAAAAACTAATTCTGAGGCTGAGAATGATGTGTGTTCAATCCCTAGACCCACAGAGGAAAAAAAATCTTAAGTATTTTACCAGTTGCCTACATTTATTTTCATTCTTGTTCTATGTTATCTTATTAAAAACAATGGATTTAAAGTGGCAAGTAGGATGCAAAAAGAGAGAAGTGGCAATTTTAACCCAAGTGGTAGCTACTTTTTTTTTTTTTTTTTTAAGAACAACAGAAAAGCAATGACTCTTTCTTAGCCCCCACTACAGAAGAGCAGGCAAAGGGCACAATATCTCAAAATGCAGCAAAGTCTCACACACCAACCACATTTGACCCTCTGTACCTTGGGTGTTTGCGCAGCATCAGAATGCGGAGACGATCTTTAGCTTCTTCAATGTTAAGTGGAAGCCTCTGGGAGAAACTCTCATCCTGATCCAGCCGTGCACAAAGATTCTGCAGTTTCATTAGAAGCCCAGATTTGTCTTGTTTTCCAACTGAAACCCAATGCACACCCCCTGGGAAACAACCTAATTAGAAAAAGGATAAGAAACATAAGGCTTTTGAACACTAGTCCCCTCTTTGAATGGTTTTACTGTTAATACATCTTGCAATATTTATTTTTATTTACATATGTATCAGGAACCAAAAATTAATTCTTCACATTGATTTAAAAAATTAAAATACATACACACACACACACGTAAAAGAAGAGCCAATTATGGTAGTACACACTTGTAATACCAGCATGCAGGAGGCTGAGGCAGGAGGATTTCAAGTTCTGGACCAGCTTGGGCTAGACAGTGAGTTTGTAGCCAACCTGGGCCACACAATAAGACCCTGTCTCAAAAAAAATAAAAGGCTGGGAGTGTTGTTCAAGTGGTAGAGTGCCTGGGAAGCAAGCACAAGGCCCTGAATTCAAATCCCATACTGTCATAAAATAAAAATATATAAATAAGGATCTCTGCGCAAAATATGGTAAATGGTAGCATTAGATCACTGGTCAGTGACATTAGTCATAAAGATTTTTATACATAGTCTTAAAAGTATAAGAAAAAGCCAAAAATAGATACAAATAAAATGTACTGAATTACACCAAAGGGCAATTTGTTTCCTGGTATTCACAAATAATTAAAGGTGGTGAAGGTAGCTCAAACCTGTAATCCTACCTACTCAGGGGGTGGAGGTTGGGAGGATTATGAGGCCAGCCCATCAGGAGACCCCATCTCAACTAATGGCTGGGCACAATGGTGTGTGCCAACCATACATGGAAGAACTGCAGTCCAGGCCAAACCAGCATAATGCAAGACCCTATCTCAAAAATATGAACACAAAAAGGATGGCAGAGTGGCTCAAGTAGAGTACCTGCTAGTAAGAGCAAGGCCTGAGTTCAAATCCCAGTACTGCAAAAAAAAAAAAAACAAAAAAAAAAACACTGTTTTTTAAAACCTAACCACTCAAAAGATATATGCACAAAATTTCCTTTAAGAGTTCTATGCACATTGATTTATTTAATTCTCACAACATCCTATCAAGCAGATAAACTGAGCTACTGAGAGGCTGAATAATTCCTCCAAGGTTACACACTTAATAAAGCAGAGCCTTGATTCTAACCTCTATCATCAATGCTCACCTTACCTGCTTCCACAAAGAAATGCTTCCACAAAGAAATTCACTGCAGCACTATTTACAATAGGAAAAAGCTGTAAACATTCCACAATGTCTGTCTTAACCTACTCTCCCACTGCAACTTTCCAAGTATGAGGTAGCCTCAAATGAGGAACAGAAGACTATTAAATATAAATGAAGTTTGGAATATGAAATAGGACTTAGCATTTTAATTTACATATATACATATATATATATATATATTTGTTTGTTTGTTTGTTTGTTTTTGTGGCACAGGAAGTTGAACTCAGGGCCTCATGCTTGCTACACAGGCGTTCTACCACTTTGCGCCACTCCACCAGCCCAAATTTTTGAAATGAGACTTGAAGCTTGAAAGCACCTGGGACTGTGAACCTGAATAAGGTCCCCAAGAAAAGATATGAAGAGGCAATGATGGAAGAGTCAAGTTCTTTCTGATTGTACCCTACAAACCCTGATGAAATGGTTACACCTACTAAATAAACCTAGTAAAATTACCAAGGTTAATAATCATTAACTTAAACTGGAACTCAATTGGGTAATTTTCCAGAAAAGACAAAGTAAGTAAAGGTCTGGATGAAACCATGGAAAGCAAGAAGGAATACTCCATTTTCTAAAGTAAAGAAACAGACATCACCCTTGCCCAAGATAAGAAGATAACGAAAATGCCAAGAATATGGGCTAAGGGGTGACTGAATGAAGGACAATAAAATCTAGGCCCAAGTTTAAAAGGGGCTGATAGGTTAAGTAATAAGAATATTATGGAATCAACAGATGAGAAGTCCTGATAGGTCTAAGAACTATAGTGAACTTGAAGAATATAGATAGAGGTGGGCAAAGAACAGAATATTTAAAATGAAGATTCAAAAGTGGTATAGTTGTACTGATGACGAGAATAAGGGTCCAGCCTATGATCAGATTACTATATGGGTAGGGGAAAAAAGTTACAGGAGACAAACAAATCAAAGCAATGAGAGGTCAAAATTTTAGATGATTCATCTGTATATAGAAAGAAGGACAGAGAGAGAGAGAGAAACCACTAAGAATGCTAACAGAAGCCGGGCACTGGTTGCTCACACCTATAACTCTAGCTACTTAGGACACTGAGATCAGGAGGAGCATAGAGTTCAAAGCCAGCCCAGGCAAACAGTTCATGAGATCTCATCTCCAAAATAATCAGAACAAAATGAACAGGAGGCGTGGCTGAAGTGGTAGAACAACTGCTTTGTAAATGTGAAGCCCTGAGTTCAAACCCCAGTCCCACTAAAAAAAAAAAAAAAAACAAAAAAGAAAGAATGCCAACAGAAGTACTTACAAGAAATGAACCTCAAAGAATTTAGATGGAGGACTAGAGGTGTGGCTCAAGCAGTAGAGCACCTGCTTTGCAAGTGCAAAGCCTTTATAGTACAAACCCCAGCCCCACCAAAAAATAATAATAATAATCTGGATGGAAAAGAAAAGAATATTAATGGTCTGGATGAGGCAACTGAGGGCAAGAACAACATCCACCTATTTCCTGATGTTGCAGGAAATGAAAGAAAAAGTGCCATACCAAAAAATGTGGCTGTGTGGGTGGTATTCTCAGGAAACTGCCCAGTGTCAGATAACCAAACATTCTAAGAACAGACTGATAACAAAAAATAGCTTCCTGATTATAGAGGAGGAGGTGCAGAAGTTATGACATAAAGGCATGGAGATGGTGGAGGAACCTAGATCAATATGCTGAGTAGTAACTGCATGAGACTCTAAAAGACAATAAATAACCAGGAGACAGAGGGCTGGGAGAATGCCTCAAGCAATAGAGCACCTGCCTAGCAAGTGTGAGGCCCTGAGTTCAAACCCCAGTACCGCCAAAAAAAAAAAAGAAAAAGAGAGACAGAGACAAAGAACGCTACAATAATTGAGGCAAAGACAGGGCTATGAGGGCTGGTTTAACTATTAGTGCTAGAGTCTTAGAAGAATATAGACAAAAAGTCCTAAAAGTTTCCTCAAGTTCCCTCAGACCTCCTTCAATATAGGTCAACTGTTGTGACAATGCCAGTGCTTGTAGCTTCACTGTGTTCTGAGAGTATACATATTTATAAATGCACAGAAAACGTGTTAAAAACTCAAACCAAACTATCAAGCAAGATTATCTTTGGAATAGAATTGAGAATTTAAGAGAAAGGGGAGACTGACAAGTAAAGAGAACTTTTAGGGTTGGGAGTGTAGTTCAAGTGTTAGAGCCTGCCTAGCAAGCATGAGGCCCTGAGTTCAAATCCTAGCCAAAGAGAGACACAGAGAGAGAGAAACAAACTTGTACTTTTCTTGAGACAGGGTCTCATTATAGCCCAGGCTGACCTTAAACTCTTCATTTTCCTGCCTCCAGAGTGCTGGCATTATAGGTATGCGCCACCGCACCCTGCTTACTTTCTAGTTCTTTTTTAAATGAAAATTTTACTTTTATAATATTTAAACAAAACAAAAAAATCCTAATTAATTTGTGCTTTCTATTTAGAAATTTAGAAAATCATCCCAGGATTAAAGACAAGGCAAAGAAAGAACCTTGCTGCAACCACCTAGAAAACTTCCACATTTTGTGCTTCTTCTGAGGGAGAGGGAGTGGGCTGGGACACAGTTCTATAGGTAACCCAGGCTGATCTCACACTTGCAATCCTCCAAGTGAGGTCTGCACTTATAATTCATTTAGAGAGACTTTATTCAAAGAAAACAAATTGCTCACTTTTTTTGTTTTGGTTTGGTTTAGTTTGGTTTTTGGTTTCTTGGGACAGGGTCTCACTGTGTAGCCCATGCCAGCTTGAGCTCACTATATAGCCTTGGCTTGCCTTAAACTCATGATCATCCTGCCTCAGCCTCCTGAGTGCTGGGATTATAGGTTTTCACCCTATACCTGACTCAAATTCCACTTTAAGCACCAATTACTTAGGTTAAAGACTGAAATTTAAAACCCAAAAGTTACAGCATAATAGAGAAAGGTAGATGAAATTGGGCACATTCGGTAGTATAGTCCTAGACAAAAACAAAGGTAGACAAACAGATCAAGTAATCAACTGATCTACAAATTTCCTACTATACAATATAACATTTAGTTAAATACTGAACTGCTATTTCCACATTTCAGAAACAATCTAAACACCTTGACTCTGGGCACAAGAGGGAGCAATTTAGCCTTAAATGAGGTTTGCACTTATAATTCATTCAGAGAAACTTTATTCAAAGAAAACAAACTCCATCCTATATTTACAAAAGGTTTATCCTGGTAGCAATTAGTAGTCTAATAGTGACAAGGAAATCTTGAAAAGGAAAGAAACAAACCGGAGAAAGCTATCTCCTATCTATTAGCTAGCAGATGGAAAAAGCTTCCATGTTTTCAAAACTGAGCATAAAAATACAACAGTTAAATGCTTGAAATATTTTCCCTACATATAAGAAAAACTTGAGGGTTGAACTTTCAAAAGAAAATTAGGTGCCTTAAAAATGAATAGGCATGGGCTGGGGGTGTGGCTCAAGCACTCTAAAGTGCTTACCTAGCAGCACAAGGCCCTGGGTTCAATCCCCAGTACTGCCAAGAAAATAGGTAGCAGGCTGGTGCATGCCTGTAATCCCAGTACTTGGGAAGCCCAGGCAGGATTGTGAGTTTGAGGTCAGCTGAAGTCAGCTAGAGAATGTGAAGCCACCTAGGCTACATAACGAGATTCTGTCTCCGAAAATAAGTATAGGTATAAATAGCTAAGAACTTAATACTCTTTAATTTATACAAACTGACCACCCTAAAATAAGAAAATTTCTATAGGAATCAGTTTTAATCAAGTTTGTTAACCTTACATTATCTGCATTTTTAAAAGAAAAGGTTTTGTACTATAAGGGAAAAATCCAGTGTTCCTACATTTTACAATGGATGTGAACTTCAAAGATTAAAATCTATCTTCAATAAGGCACTTTTTTGGGGGGAGGGGAGGGGAGAAGAGTTTTCAGTGTTGGAGATCCAACCTAGAGCTTCTCATATGCTAGGCAAGTGCTGCACCACTGAGCTACACCCTGGCCCAGACAGCAGATACTCTTGAACTAGCAAACATAAAATGACAGATTCCAAAGAGATTTAAAAACTAAATATGGGGGCTGCAGTTGTAGCTCAGTGGTACAGCACTTGCCTAGCTTTGTGTGAGGCCTGGGGTTCAATCCCCAACACCAAAAAAAAAAAAAAAAAAAAAAACCTAGTAAAACTAAAGGAGCACAAATTAGAAGGCAAAAATATTTATTAATTTGACTGCATCAGAATTAAAGTCTTCTTTAAGAACATCTTGACTGCATCAGAATTAAAGTCTTCTTTAAGAACATCCAGACCAAAGTCAATACAAAAGATAACCAAGTTATTTGCTCTAAAGCAGACACAGTCTAACATCTAGAATATACAAAAGATTTCTAAAAAGTAACAAGAAAAACATGGAAATTCCAATAGAAAAAGATAACTGTTTTTTATAAACAAATAATATGTATACACAGCTACAAGGATAAACCTTAAAAACATAGCATTGTGGGAGATAAGAAACAGAATAATAGTGTAACATTTATGCAAATTTAAAATATCTGCACATAACATACATATTTTATAAGTGTATATACATTAAACAAGCATTTACAAAATACATGTAGTAAATACATTAGCAGGATTGTATTCCTTCTAATACAAAAGAGGAACAAATGATAATGGGAATTTTGAAAAGAAAATAAATAACTACAGTAAGAAGTTAAGCCTAAAATGATAGGAGTACGAACTAAAAATATGATTAATATGCGGTGATAGGGAGAATAATGAATGCCCCCCATAAAGATGTTCACATCTTTACATTTGCCACAAAACTGGTAAATGTTACTTTATATGGCAAAAGGGACTTTGTACATTTGAATGAATTCAGGATGTTAAAATGGGACTATCCTGGATTATAAAGTAAATCCAATGTAATCATAAAAGCCCTTATAAGAGGGCTGAGTCAGAAAAGGAAATCTAAGTGGTAAAGCACCTACGTAGCAAGTCCAAGGCTCTGAGTTCAAACCCCAGCACCACACACACAAAAAAAAAAAAAGAAGAAAAGGAAATGTGAGGGGCCGGGACATAGCTCAGCGATAGAGCATGTGCCTAGCACGTGAGAAGCTCTGGGCTTAACTCCTCACTTCCTCAAAAAAAGTATAATAAAGGAAATGTGAGAGAGAAGCAAAAATCAGAGAGAGATTGAAGACACTATGCACTGCAGGTTTTCAGGAAGGGACCTTGAATCAAGGGAAAGTAGTCTCTTCCTAGAAGGTGGAAACACAAGGAAAAGAATTCTCCCAGACTAGGGGCATGGCTCAACTGGTAGTATGCTTGCCTGAGTTCAATCTTGGACCAAGTATCACAAAAGAAGAATAAAAAAATTCTCCCAGGCAGGGCATGGTGGATCACACCTATAATCCCAGCACTTGAGAAGAAGAGACAGAAGGATCATGAATTCAAGATTAGCAGGGTCTACAAAATAAGTTCAAAGTCAGCCTGCAACTCACCACAAAATGAGACCCTGTCTCAAAAAAAAAAAAAGCAAACCAAAAAGAGAGAGAGAGAGCATTCTCCCAAGAGTTTCCAAAAGGAACTTAGGCAGCCCTACTGACACTTTGGTTTTAGTCTAGTAAAATCCTCCAGGACTGTAAGATAATAACTATGTATTAAGCCACTAAATTTGTGGCAATATATTACCAGCAGCAACAGGAAACTAATACAACGCCTAAAGAATTAAATTGTCTCAGACTTAGCTAGCAACACACAGTGGTCAAAACTTACCTTCTAAGAGAGAATGATCTCGAACAGCTTCTGCAGCTAACACAGACTTCCCACAGCCTGCCATTCCATATATAGTGACCCATCCTGGTTCACCATTCAATTTGAAGAGCTTTTGTTGAATTGCATTCACCAGCTTCTTCCTAGTAACAAAAACGACTGGTCTCTGTGGTACACCACCTTCACACAGCACTGTCCTAACTGAAATCAAAAAACAGGTATGAATGAACAGAACTTTGAAATGACCATTTAGTAATACTGTAAAAGCCCAAAAGAGTAAGGCTGAGGTCTTCTCTCAAAATTTCTAAAACAAATAAGAAAATGTGGCTAGCATATTAACTTCAACTTTCTGATTTCTCAAAATACAGAGAACAAAAGTAAACCTATATCCTTCAAGAAGAACACAGATAATGGAAGTGTCATTTATATCTGCCTTACACACATTATACCCAGACTCTCCTGCCTCTATCTCATTAAAGACTGGGAAAGGACTAGAGTTGTAGCTCAGTAGCCTAGTATGCACGAGGTCCTGGGTTTAATCCCCAGCAAGGCAAAAGAAATAAATAAAAGAAAGATTGGAAAGGAGAGTGTAAAGAGAAGAATGTTTATGGAATTCCTTCCAGGAATATAGGTTTATAAAGATTCTTATTCTTTCCTATAAACTCCATAAACACACAGAAACAGAAAATAAATAAGGGCCTATACAATGGACTTATTATCTCTAAAAGTTAGGGTACACAGGCTATCACCTCAGCAATGATGAGTTCACTAGGCAAGAAAAAATTGTGAGTGTGAAGGTGGATGCAAGTAGAAAATACTTAAATTGAAAACATCACTTCAATTTTTTCACATGCATCTTTCAGTGAACTGATCACACTTTCTTGAGAATATTACATCTATTACAGACAAACCTGCAGTAACAAAGCCATTATGACAATAATGTGACAGAGGGTATCGAAGATACAAACCATATGAAGTTATTCCACCACCTGAGTCTTTGCCACTGGAAGAAGAAATAACAGGAATGCCACTATGGAGAAGGGCAGCAAGGTCTTTATATCCTTCGTGTAATAGAGCATTGTAGAACGATATGTAGGCCCGGTTATCTTTTTTAAGTATCATTTTAATGAGAATAGCTGCTCGTTGATGTTTAGTTGGCTAAAAAAATAAATAAGTACTTTAGTACATAGCAATAAATATGTTTGCAACATAAGTTAGTGGCAACCAGTATAAGTTCTGAAATTCTAAAAACTTTTAAGAACGTACAGACTGCCTCAGTCTCAGTGGGCTTTACCTCATTTTTCACTTTTTCCTCCTCTGATATTGTTAAAACTCCATCACTAATCATGTGATCCATGATATAGGATGTTTTGATGTCCTTTTCCAGAGCTTCTCTATATTGAAGCAAACAATTTCGAGCTTTTGCATCCATCTTCCCTCAAACTTTTCTCTTTCTGGGCTGTCAACCATGAGCTATAGGCAAAACAGCAGGATAAATGTCAGGACAATAAACATGTAACCTCACTGGTAAAGAAAACAAGACTCATTTTTTTTTTTTTTGCTAAAACACTTAAAAATGAACAAAACCCAATGGTTTTAAAGTGTGAGAAAATGGGTATTTTTATGCACTGTTGGGGAGAGTACAAAATTAATGCAACATTTCTGGAAGGCAGTATGGAAGTGTTTAAAATAATCATTCTCTTCAACTCAGCAATCCCATCTTTAGGAATCTACCTCAAGGAGACATGTCAAAAAAATCCACAAAATGACTTAATAGTGTTTAGTGGCTCACACCTGTAATCCTAGCTGCTTGGGAGGCTGAGATTGGGAGAACAGCAGTTGCAGACCAGCCCAGACAAATAGTTCATGGATCCCATCTCTTAAAATAACCAAAGCAAAACAGACTGAAGGTGTGGCTCAAGCAGGGCAGCACCTGCTTTGCAAGCCCAAAGTGCTGAGTTCAAACCCCAGTCCCACAAAAAAAAAAAAAAAAAAAGTGTTTAGGTAAGAAACAATGAACCCAACCTAAATGTCCATAATTCTGAATATGGATTCTTTAAAATATTAAGGTATACATATAAAATGGAACATTATAGAGTCAACTTTAAATGGCCATAAAAAATTATAAGACGTATCTCTATATACTGACAGGAAAGATGTCCTTGACACAATGCTAATGGAAAAAAAGAGAAATATGGTCCCACACATAACACAAAACATGTGTTGTATCATATAGACAGATGGGCTGGTGGTGTGCACCTGCCTAACAAGTACAAACCCTGAGTTCAAACCCTAATGCTGCCCCCCCCACCAAAAAAAAAAAGAAAAAGGTTTGGGCTACTGAGCAGCAGGATTTGGAATTTTCTCCCCATTTTGTACTTCCCTATACTGTCTCATTTTTTTCCCAATATACATTATCATTTTTTGCAATAAAAATACTTCCTTTTCTTAGTTATCAGTCTGGATATTTGCAAACTTCTTGTTTTCTTTACCCAACATTAAGAACCAAAGAGAGCACTGCGGATGTTCTGGAAGTGGGTATAAGCTCTCCATCTTCATTAGTCAACACATTTCTCACAAAGCAACAGGAAATAGCCTCTGATCTCATTTCTTGGATGAAGAGGTAATAGAGAAGGAATAATATTCCTTACAAAAGAAGAAAGTTTCTACCAACTTCACCTCAAATATAATGCAAATTCTTCCAGCTTTGAATGTTTTAAAACAGTAAATTTTTTAAACTGTAACAGAACTCCATCCAATGTATTCCAGTGGATATCTAAATTCAATACACATTTGAGCCCCTGCTATGTAAAAGGTTCTCAGACTACAAAGATTAAATTATATCCCTGAAGGAATTCACAATCTGTAGAAGAGAGATAATTAGAATGTGAATGTTCTAAGTACAAACCAAAGATAAGCACAAGTAATCTATATACAGAAGAGGACAATAATCACCAAGCTTCAAAAAGACCATATTTTTGAAAAGTCACCAAATGCAGCAGATGCAAAATAGGGAAGAAGGGCATTTGCCTAAGCTTGTCGTGGTTCACAAAATGCCCAGGACTGGCAGAAAACTAACTGATTTTTTAAAAAGTTATTATCAGATACAAGACTATCATATTTTCAAAATGTTAATAACATTTTTAGGTTTTCAACATGAGCTTCCTAATAGACAGCTATGAAATTCAATTTGTCATACAACAAAAAAAAATTTTTTTAGGTTATGTACAAGACCTAAGCAAACAGACACACTCTTTGGTGATCTGAAACTAAGTTCCAGTTTTATCTAATCCTCGTAAACTTACATACGTAAGTTTTAAACATGTTTTTAAACTTAACACAAACTGAAAGATGAACAGTTTCTCTGCGTCCCACCTTTCATAACCACATCAAAACTAAAAGTCAAAAGTTTTCAGAGGTAAAATACAAAGGAAAAGTGCACCCAGGAAAACCGTGCTAGTCACTACTTCCTCGTTAGATAAGCTCTCTTCCTTCCTAGCACAGGAGCAGGACGCTTTCAAATGCTCCATACCCCCGAGGGCTCGGCTGCGATCTGCCTTCCGCACCTGCAAAGACCTGGCCGGGCAGCAAAGCCAGGACGGAAAATTACCCACACCTGGCGCGGGGGTCTCCCCGGGAGGGGCAGCCCCGCGGGGTCAGAGCGGGAGAGTCCGGGCAGGAGGATGGGGTGTAACGGGAGCGGGGTGTCATAGGCGAGGGGGGGTCCGGTACGGAACGCGGGGCTGTCCCGGCCTCTCAGCTGCCTCACCAGGGCCTCTGCGGCCAGGAACTCAGAAAACACACGAGGACCTCCGAAGGGAGGAGAGGGGGTGTCACCTCCGCGGCGGGACCCCCACAGGGCGGAACCCACCCCAGGGCACAAGAGGAGGGCCCTCAAGTTGCCGCTCCTTCCCTCGGGCGGGAGCCCAGCGCGCCGTCCAGACGCCGCCGCCGCGCCTACTTCATATCCTCGCAGATCGCTCCTCACCTGCGGGCGCCTCACCCCTCCAGCGCAGGGATAAAGCATTCGCATCCGCCGGTCACCTCCTCCTCCTCTCCGCCTCGGGCCCTCTGTGGAGTCAAAAGCCGCCGAGCCCAGCCCGGCCCAGCCCGGCCCAGCCTGCTCGGACGGCGCGCGCCCGCGCATGCAAATTCACACACCCCGAACCCCTTAGTGGAGGCCGCCCCCCTCCGCGCGCACCCGCGCCCAGAGTGTGCCCGCGCGCGTAGAAGGCGCCCTCCCATCCCACAGCGAGGGCGGGGCTAAGTCGCAGGGGCGCGCCGCGCTCCTACAAAAGGAAAAAAAAAAAAAAACGAGGCGGCGGCGCGCACGACGTGACGCGCGCGCCACCGCCGGCCCCGCGCTCTCTGGTCCTGGCGGCCGGTGCGCGCTCGCGAGTTCCGAAGGCCCCACGTTTGCGGCAGTTGCGCAGAGGAAAGGGGAGGTGGGGTCGCCACCCGCCGCAAACGGAGGAACTGGAGGCGGGAGTATGGGAGACGTCGGGAAGCAGCGAGGATGGCCTGGACTGCGAAGGGGCTGGCTTCTGGGCGGTGCCAGGTCCTTAAGGGGGCGAGGCTTCCCGAGGAGGCACAGGCGGCCACGTCCCGCTGTCCCGATGTAAAGCAGCCCTAGGATTGTGGTCCTCTGGGTCTGCAGACATGTCCGACGTGAGGAACCGAAAGAAGCCGGGGCCCAAGGTATCCTCTGCGGAGCCCGTGAAGCGGAGCGAGGGTGGGAAGAGCCCTCCCGCGGCCCGTGGCGGCGGAGGCGGGGGCTGGGCGGACCCCCGGACCGGGCTGAGCCTGCTGTCGCTGGGGACGTGCCTGGGCCTGGCCTGGTAAGTGCCCGCGACCTCCCCCGGGCCCTAGATCCTCGCGTCACCGCCCTGCCCGGGCCCCACCCGGCCGGGCGTCCCGCTAACCTACCGCCCCAGACCGGTTCCCATCCCAAAGGAGCAACACAGCCCGAAAAGTTGTTCTTTCTCTTTCTTTTTTCTTTTTTTCCCTCCGTGCTGGTAGCATGCCCCTATCGCTCACCAGGAGTTGAGCACAAAGTTTGGGAACGAGTCGGCCGCGTCTTAAGCGCCCCATCCCTTCCCGTTGCTGTACCGTTACTTCGGTCCCCTCTGCTGTTGACTGGGATGTTTGCTCCACCCCACCCGCCCCAAAAATTCCTGATGGACGTGTTCGCAACCTTGAAGGGGTTCGTTATGCATGCAAAGCAGCAGACGCTAATGAAAATAGAAAAGTGTGGAGGCTTTCCTGATGAATCTATTGTGGTCTCAAGTTACAGATGGCACTGTAACACTGGAGTGCTGCAAAAGTACTGCATAGCACTCGTGTTCGCTTAAGGCTGCTAAACACTGTAGTTTTTACACCAAGCGAATACATATGCTGGGGTCACTGGGGAAAGTGGGTATTAAGGATAACCTTAACACTGGCTCATTTTGTTTTACCCCTTTTTCTTTAGAAATAATCTTCCCTCCATTTTTCACCAGTTACTAAATTATTTAATAAGAGTTGTTAGGAGCCGGGCGCCTGTGGCTCACGCCTGTAATCCTAGCTGTTCAGGAGGCAGAGATCAGGAAGATGTGGTTCGAAGCCAGCCCGGGGAAATAGCTAACGAGACCCTATCTCGAAAAATCCTATCACCAAAAAAAGGGCTAGTGAGATGACTCAAGGTGTAGGCCCTGAGTTCAAACCCTAATACACACACAAAAAAAAAGTCATTAGAAGAGATCCTGGACTTCTCTGATCTAGAATATTTTTGATGCTGTACATTTCCAATTTTCGTTTACTAGTGACTCATCCTGAGTCTGGTGTTTTTTAAGTTAATGTTACAAGAAAGTGAAATGTGAATTTTTAAATGTTCTCTTCAAAAAAAATTTATCTTGCTAATGGTATTTCTTCTTGTGGAATAGTTTAATCTTAATCTGAAAAGACTAAATTACTGGATTTACTGTTTGAAATAAACTGTTCATGGGCTAGCCGATATGGCTTAGTGGTACAGTACTTGCCTAGCATGCACAAGGCCCAGGGATCCATCCTAGCACAGCACAAAAAAAAAAAAAAAAACCTGCTCATACCTTAAAATGCATGATCTTCTTTAAGTGCACTTTTTAGGGGGCGGGAACCATATTTTGTATTGGGAAAGTTACTGAGCAGAAAGAACAGGCCAACAGTGTGTTGTTCCTGACTGGTGCTTAATGCAACTGGTGAAAAGAAAAGCATGAGGTGGGTCCTTCAGCTCCACAGTTTTCAAGGGGTCTCACAAAAAGGAGTCTCAAAGATGAACGCTTAGCAAGGACTTGTTTTAATAAAGCAGGATACAGTAAAGAGAAATAGGAATAAGGAAGAGAAACGTCTTCACTCGCGGTAGATGGGAGTGAAAAAGAGTCCAAATGGTGGTTCTTGTCTAGGGTGTACATCTGGAGCATTTCATGTTAAATTTACATCTGGGTACCTCATCATGTCACTTAACAACCCCTAATCATGTTGCTACGTTTTTTAAGCATAAAGACAATGGGTTTAGGGTAGGTCTGTTACCCAAAATACAGCTAAAATAGGTTTTGTTATCCAAAAACATGGAGACAATGATCTAGGCTTACCCAAAACACAAGAACAATAGATACAACTCTGGAGGGCATCTATTTGCAAGACCTGCCCTTTTATTTTCTGGTTCTCTACCCTTTCAAAGAGTCTGCACCATCTAAAAAGAGAAAGGTGGGCTGAGGGAGTGGCTCAAGTAGTAGAGTGCCTGCCTAGGGAGGCAATCTCAGACTCCCAAGTAGCTAAGATGACATACAGGCATGAGCCAAAAGCATCCGGCCTGCCTTAGTTTTAGTTGCTAAGTTTATTGATTTAATTATCATTACTTAGGCAAACCTTCATATTCATGTGAGATAAATTGCATCACAAAATGCTCAGTTTTTCAGTAGTTACTGAGGTGGGGAGAGCTCCAATAGGAAATGAATCTTTAAAAGAATAAAACTGCTGGGTCGAGCTGCTCTCAACTGTAATCCCATCTACTTGAGAGACAGAGATTGGGAGGCTCATGATTTGACACCAGCCCAAGCAAAAAGTTAGACCCCATCTCAGTCAGTAAGCCTAGCATAATGGTACACACTTGTGATCCCATCTGCATGCTTGTCACCTCAGCAAGGGAGGCTATCGGTAAAAAAAAAAGTGTGCGCCGGGCAAAAACATGAGACCCTAACCTAAAAAAATAGCTACAGCAAAAAAGGGAATATAGCTCAAGTGGTAGAGAGCCTGCCTAGCTGCCAAAAAAAATTAATAAAATTTGAAAAGCAGATGCTTCATCATAGGAATTTACTGTTAGGGATTTTTGCCTTTTATTGTAAAAAGACAAAAACATTACATTCATTAGAAAGATTTCATCTGAGCCATGATTTGCAAAATGATTTTTTAAAATACAGAATCAATTATTTTTAGGGCTGGAGGTGTGTAGCTCGGTGGTGGAGCACTTGCCTAGTATGCATGATGCCCTGCGTTTGATCCCTGCACTACTATCTACCTATCTATCTATCTATCTATCTATCTATATATTATATAAATTTTTTTACTCAGCACAGCCTATAATTGTTACTAAGATAGTTGACTGTTACTCTTGGGAAATCTCTTGCCACAAAAATTGAAGTAATATATACTTCGGTTGCTGTTTATGGCAAAATATTCATGATAAATTTGGGGACAAAAAATTTATCCTAGTTAAACATTTGCAAACATTTCCCAAATAAAAAACAAGCATTTCTCATCTTTTTTTTTTTTTTTTTTTTCTTTGTGGTACTGGAGTTTGAACTCAGGGTCTCACGCTTGGTATGTAGACCACTCTACCACTTGAGCCACTCCACCAGCCCCACCAGCCCTACACTTCTCATCTTTAAAAATTACTAAAAGCACACTAGAATTATTGCAAATCCATTGAGATCTTTGCCACCAGAGCAGAATCTAAAGGTGAGCCACCAATTTTTCTTTTCTTTTTCTCCTGGTGGGACTAGGATTTGAACTCAGGTCTTCACACTTGCAAAGCAAGCACTCACAATGCAGGTGCTCTACTGCTTAAGCCACACCTCCAGTCCATTTTGCTCTAGTTATTTTAGAGATGGGGTCTGGTGAACTATGTGCCCAGGCTGGCCTAGAAGTGTGATCCTTCTGTTCTCAGCTTCCCAAATAGCTAGGATTATACATGTGAGCCACCAATGCCAGCTGCAACTCTTTCTTAAATGCTTACTATACTAACACAATCCTGGATAAAGTACAACAGTGAGTGAATACCTGTATCACTCTGTTTTGGGTTTTGTTTTTTGGTGGTACTAGGGTTTGAACTCAGGTCTTACACTTGGTAGGCAGGCACTCTACTACTTGAACCACTCCACCAGTATATATCACACTTTCTGAAAAGTCTGAATTTTTCCGCTGCCCAAGGAAGATTTAAAGACATCACAATATTTGTGTCTTCAGACCTTTAGTCTTGTCTTTGGATCCTTGTTTGGAAAGTAAGCAGAAATAATGCTTAACAAACTTAAAAGTGTGTTGCTTCTCTTAACTGACTGTTAAAGTCCTGATACATCATTCTGTGTCAACTTGAAAATAAACTTAGGAGATAACAGTTGCCCAAAGACATGGCTTGAGTATCAGTTTGCATACCTCATTTCTAAACTTAAGGAAATTTTTCAGATAAAAAGATTAAATAGATCCTTCTTTCAGAACTTTAAAAAGAGAGGACATTATTAAACAAGACACAAAACCTTTCACACAAGTTTGTTTAATTACATAAAATCAACAGGAAATCCCATTGTGAAGATTTTAAGCTTCTGGAAATTGCTTTATAAAAGTTTTTCATGGTATTATAATTATGTATAAGAAGTGGAAAACTTTTTAAACAAGCAATATAATTCGGAGTTTTTCTCTGTCATCCCATTTAACTTCTCTATAAATCATTTATACTATAAAATCCTGATTAACTATAATTCTGTATAATTTTTTTTCTTTTATTCATATGTGCATACAATGTTTGGGTTATTTCTCCCCTCTTCCCCCCACCCCCTCCCTCTTCCCCCGCACCCCCTCACTACCAGGCAGAAACTATTTTGCCTTTATCTCTAATTTTGTTGAAGAGAGAGTATAACCAATAATAGGAAGGACCAAGGGTTAATTCTGTATACTTTTATAAAATCACTTATACTATAAAATTTTGGCTGTTTCTACTTATTTTTTTATTAGCAGAGTTTTATCTAAAAGACAGTGTTGTACGTTTTTTTTTTCCTTAGCTGGGGACTCAGGACTTTCTAGGCACATACTCTACCATTTGAGCAACAACCTCAGCCCCAAGGTTATATTTTAAATGCCCTGCTTTTTAACAATGGAATATGGTCAATGTTTTCCTGAATATTAGGTATTAAAGTGGAGCTGTGTGGGTGACAGTGACTCACACCAATAATCCTAGCTACTCAGAAGGCAAAGCAGGAGGATTGCGGTTAGACTCCAGCCCAGGCAAATAGTTCATGAGACCCTATCTCAAAAATACCCAACATAAAAAAGGACTGGTAGAATGGCTCAAACAGAGTCTGCCTTGCAAGCGTGAGGCCCTGAGTTCAAACCCGATACTGCAATAAAAGAAAAAAGCTATAGGTGGTATAAAACGTAGGGCTAAATGGGTGCTGACCCTAGTAAATGACCCTGAAACTTTCTTTTTTGAAGAAAGTACATAATAACAGATTACTTTTGTTATTTGCCTCGTTTCCATTATTAACTTGAAATACAGCCAGTGAAAATTCTGTATTTATAAGTCCTCAATCAGCTAGCTGTCTGTCACCACTTAAAGACCTGTACAGTGGCAGTACACACTATTCCATAACAGAACACAGAGTCCTAACTCTGAGTGAGGATCTCTGTAGACTACAAT